TTTTTTGAGTTGGAGTCTCATTCTGTCACCCAGGTTGGAGGGCAGTGGCACACTCCTGGCCACCGCAGCCTCGACCTGCTGGGTTCAGGTGATGCTTCTACTTCAGCCTTCCAAGTAGCTAGAACTACAGGCGTGCGCTACTGCACCTGGCTAATTTTTATCGTAGAGACGAGGTCTTGTCAAGTTGCCCATGCTGGTCTCGAACCCGCAGACTCAGGCAATCCTCTCACCTCTGCCTCCCAAAGTGCTGGGATTATAGATGTGAGTCACCGTGCCCAGCTTGTTTTCATAGACTCTTTTTGCACCTTCCTTCCACGTAACACATGAGCACCAACACAACAAAGCCATAGGATAAATGTTCACCTTTCACTTAGGATAAGAGGAAAAGGTTCAAAATTGTATCTGGAAAAGGATTTAGACAATGCTAAAGAAAAAATTTGATGATGGAAATATTTAAAAAACAGACTACATTCTCATTTATCCCATGTGGGTTAGTTTGGGATAGAAATAGACTCGTTTTTACAAATGTAGCATAAATGCAGCAATAATCTGAAACAAAGGCTTATTCAGACACTTGCTGTGCTTCTCCCCTGTCCCCCAGATTCTGATTTAGCAAGTCTAGGATAGGGCTTGAGAATGCATTTTTTTTTTTTTTTTGAGTTGGAGTCTCACTCTGTCCCCAGACTGGAGTGCAGTGGCCGCTCCCAGCCACTGTAGCCTAGACCTGCTGGGCTCCGGCGATCCTTCCGCCTCAGCCTTCCAAGTAGCTGGAACTACAGGTGCGCGCTACCACACCCGGTTCATTTTGATTTATTGTAGAGATGAGGCTCGCCAAGTTGCCCAGGTGGGTCTTGAACCCGTGAGCTGAGGTAATCCACTCACCTCAGTCTCCCAAAGGCGGGGGATTACAGGCTGAGCCACTGAGCCCGGCTTGATCTTTTATTTTAACATGCTGTGATCCAACTAGACACAGCATGTTAAACTGACAACCAGTAGTCAGTGCCCACTTACCAACCTCCCATCAGCAGAAAGGAGTCCCACCTATTTCAACCTCATCTCTAATCTCACCAGCTACTTCCTGCACACACTCTATAGGTCTGCGCACCAAGCCCTGGCTCTTCTGACTCTTGCTAGGTTCCTCTGTCTCTGTCCCTTACCCCCCTCCAACTCTCTGTTCATACCTCTATTACAGAGACTTTGCAGGGACATGGATGGACGGTGGCTCCCCTGGGACAGGCACCTTGCTCACATCCATGTGGCCGCTACTGGAACCTACTTCCCATTTTCCACAAAAAGGTCAAGATTAAAAAATAAACATCCCAGATCACTTCCTTCTGTGTAGACCCCATGTGGCTGCCTGCTGCAGGCCCGAGATGCCCCCATGATGGGAACAGTGCCTGGCCCCTCCTGCTCAATGACTCCCCTCACTGGCCAGTTGTTCCTACTTCTGACATGCCAGGACTTTCTAAACTGCTGCTGCCTTTGCCCAGGACACCGTCCCCCCAAATCCCAAGGAAAGTTCCTTCCTGTCAATTGGGTGGCACCCCAAAAGCCACCCTACCTTGTTCCCTTGCTCAAGTCCACGTTACTGTTAGATGTCCTTGGTGCAATTCACAGTGAGCAGTTGTGACATGGAATTTATATTTTATTTGTTTTACCTGCTTCTTACCTGTCTCTCCTACTAGAATGATATTCCATAAAACCAGGAGCCTTGTCTATACCACATGGTGCCGTACACCCAGGGCCTACAACAGTGCCTGATGCCATATGCTCAGTGCCTAGAACAGTTTCTGGTGCTGTTGCCCAGTGCCTGGTGCCCAGAGCCTGAAACAATGCCCAGTGTCATACTCCCAAAATCTAGAACAGTGCCTGGTACCATGTGCCCAGTGCCTAGAACAGTGCCTGATGCTGTGTACCCAGTGCCTAAAACACTGCCAATATGGCCAGGGCCTGAACAGTGCCTGGTGCAGTCGCCCAGTGCCTAGAGCAGTGCCCAGTACATGGGAGGGCTCCACAGCCCTGGGTTAACAGGTGCCTGGGTGCTGTGTATTCCATCCCAGAATCAGGCACAGTGCTTATCACATGAGTTGTCTCTTGAAAGACGAAGAGTTCCAGTGCTGTGCAACAATCTCAAGACAAAGCCTCAGTCTTCAGGCCAGCAGGGGACCTCCTGAACTGGGCCCACTCACCCCATCACTCTTCCTTGGCTCCCCCATCTTACCCTCTGGACACAACATGCATTTCACATGGTCCCACCCTTCCATGTGGTGTCCGTCTCCCAGACTGTCCCAGTCGCCACAAGGCCTGTTCCTTCCTACCTGAGGAGCAGCGGGTCACATTCCTCTGAGTCTCAACATGTGTGCCACTGAGTTTTGCGCAGATATGGAAGTTCGTTTTAAAGCCTCTGTCTTCCTTGACAGAAAGCAGCTCTGGGAGCAGGGCTGCGCCCTGAGCCTCCTTCTGACACCTTGCTGAATGCCTACATCTACTGAAACCACAGCAGGCCCCTGCTGAAGTGACTTCTCTAGACTCTGGTAGGTCTCTGCTGAAGCGACTTCTCTAGGCCCTGGTAGACCTCTGCTGAAGTATCTCTAGACCATGGTAGGCCTTTGCTGAAGCGACTCCTCTAGACCCTGGTAGGCCTCTGCTGAAGTGACTCCACTAGACGCTGGTAGGCCTCTGTTGACGTGATTCTTCTAGACCCTGGTAGGCCTCTGTTGACATGACTCCTCTAGACCCTGGTAGGCCTCTGCTGACATGACTCCTCTAGACACTGGTAGGCCTCTGCTGAGGTTACTTCTCTAGACCCTGATAGGCCTCTACTGAAGTGACTCCTTTAGACCCTAGTAGGCCTCTGCTGAAGTGAACCATCTCGACTCTGGCCATAGAATAAGCATTTTATTTATTTATTTATTTATTTTTGAGTTGGAGTCTCACTCTGTCACCCAGACTGGAGTGCAGTGGCCACTCCCGGCCACCGCAGCCTCAACCTGCTGGGCTCCGGCGATCCTTCCACCTCAGCCTTCCGAGTAGCCGGAATTACAGGCATGCGCTACCATGCCCGGCTGATTTTTTGATTTATTGTAGAGATGAGGTCTTGCTGCCCAGGCGGGTCTCAAACCCGCGGGCTCAGGCAATCTGCTCACCTCAGCCTCCCAAAGGCGCGGGATTACAGGCTGAGCCACCGAGCCCGGCTCAGAATAAGCATTTTAAAGACTGCTGACAGGGATGCCACCCTGTCTTCTTTCCCAAACACATCAGCTTACTGTTCCACAGCTGTAAATGTGCAAGACAGTCGGCCTGGCCAGAGCACATGCTCACCTTACCCAAATACGGAGACCTAGTAACGGGATGAGTCTGGATGTAGAAACCACACTATTTGGTGAACACTGACAAAATGTAGTATTTTCCTCATACTTGCCATGGCATAAAAGCATATATGACAGAACTAGAGCAATTACATTAAAAAAAACAAACACCTATCCATAATAATCTTTAAAAAAAACCTAAGAAAATGAGTACTTACTTATTGGCAGTCATTAGCTTGTGATCTGGCTTTTCACAGGCCTTTCCAGAAAGCATGACACTAGTGGTTCCAAAGTCTTTTTACAAAGTTTCCTAAAACAGCTGCTAACACAGCTGGCCTGAGGTCTGAATCCCAATCACAGCACCAATCACATGAACCCGACCCAAAGCAGAAGCAAAGGAAAGACAGAGTGGTCTTTTTGAGAAGCCGCCGCCGAGGCCCACCACCTAGAAGCGGGGCTCATTGACCTGATCATGTCCCGTGAGGCAACAGACTCATTGGAACACTCGAGATCATTTGTAACCTGTGGGTCATTTCCTTGACCCATCAATTAAAAGCAAATCAGATATGACCATTTCATTTAACACAACCCAACAGGTTAGAAATACTAGAAACAAATCACTGAATTTCCAAACCCTCTGGAGAGAAAAGCCCTGGCTGCGCGACAGCACTAGAAGGAGCTAGAAAGAGGTAGAAGGAGCCCCGATTCACGCACTGCCCTCCGGGCTGCCCACCTCAGGCGGCTGGCTGCTAGCACTATCTAGGGGCTCATCTTGGATCTGGAGCACGTCCTCTGCTGTGATGCTACCCGTGGGGTCCTGGACCTGGAGAAGCAGGTCCGGGTGGTCTGGCAGGGAGTCATCTGTGGCAGGGTCACTGTTCAGCTGTGGGAGAAACGGAACAATGAGTTCATTTCCAAGGTAGTATCAGCAAAGAAAGCCACAGGAACGTTGTCATAACACATTCTAGGGGCTCAGGCTAAGCGCTTCTGTGAGTGCCTGGAGTTCTTTCCTTCCACCCAGGCTACGCCAGGCCTGGTGTCGTCAGGCCAGAAGTTTAGCCTGCAGCAGAACTTAACATACATTAACACAGGCCACATTTTGCTACATAAAACCCACCCATGTGGAAGCACCCTACAGAACCGTGTTCACCTGGAGTAGAAATGCAGATTTGATGGCAATGTTTTGAGTCTCTGTTGGTTTGAGGACTCTGAAGTCAGGACTCTCTGACCTCCTGTGGCTTCAGTGCCAAGCACCCAGAGAGTCCTCAGGAAGCAACCTTAGCTGGGAGCAGGTGCATGCGTCTGACTGGCCACTCACTTATATAAACAAACTCAATGTCATACACTTTCAGTAAAACAAAAAGAATTAGGAAATGCTGGGCATGGTAGCTCATTTCTATATTCCCAACACTTTGGGAGACTGAGGTGAGAGGATTGCTTGAGCCCAAAAGTTTGAGACCAGCTTGGTCAACATAGCTAGACCTCATCTCTACAAAAAAAAAAAATTAGCTGGATATAGCAGCACATGACTGTATTTCCAGCTACTTGGGAGGCTGAGGTGGAAGAATCACCTAAGCCCATGAGGTTGAGGCCACAGTGAGCCATGATTGTGCCACTGCACTTCAGCCTGGACAACAGCGAGACTCCAACTCAAAAAAAGAAAAAAAGAGAATCAGGAAAATAAAGTAAAGTTGTTATGATGACACCCATCACTAGTGAGATTTTCTTTAAAAAGTAGTTATTCATTATAAATAAGCAAATATTACACCTTTTCCTTTTAATCAGGTTATAATTTTTTCAGTCAACATTTAACATAAGAAATATCAAGTTTATGATGTGGAGCATGGAAAGGCAAAAATTAATTTTGTCCTATGCAGACAAAGCAACATCAAATTATTTGTTAACCTCAGTGCCACTATCACTAGGGTTGGCCTTGCAAGTGACAGTCCCCTGGCTCCTGTAAGAGATAACCTCTGTTCAGCACTTACTAGACAAGGGGTGGCTTTCCATCTCATGAAGTTCCCGTGAACTAGACAAGATCAAGGCTAGATGCCTTGACCACAGTTACACGAGAAAGCATGAGCCTGCAGTCTCCAGCTGCACAGAGGCAAAGCCACCGTTTGTGAAGCTTAAGACTCAAACACAGAGGCAGAGTCAGTCTCTGAGCCTCTGGTCCAGGTCCAAGGGTACCAATGACCTCACTGAGCTGTCATCATTGCCAGCAATAGGACCACTCCTTGACGTGAAGACAGTCCCGTGGAGGGCCAAGCCTTCAGCACAGGTAAGTGCCCAGGCACTAAGATGGAGGCCTGGTTCAAGCCCACTAACTAGCTGAGCTGTGAGTGCAGGAGAAGTCTCTGCATCTGCAGTACTGCAATGAGAACCCACATGGTGTGTTGGGGCAAAAGTCACAGCCACTGATACATGTAAATGCCTAGAACAGAGCCTGGCACACCCTCAACACCTGTGAGCACAACTGTGCCGCTGTTTTAGCAACTGTTTATCATTTGACACTTAAATGGGGGGGTAAGCTGAAAGACACTGGGGCAACAAAGAGATGGTAGAACAGCAGAGGTGATTGGAAGCCAACCACAAACTGACGACTTGGCATTCTGTCTAAGGCCGGCTTGGTCCTGCCATCCAACATCACTGCCAGGACACCACTACCAGATGAAGCGTGGAACAGTTGTGTCTAAGTTAAAAGCAGGCAGCCAGGCAGCACTTTGGGAGGCTGAGGCAGGAGGACTACTTGAGGCCAGGAGTTTGAGATCAGCCTGGGCAACACAGCAAGACTCCATCTCTACAAAAATGTTAAAAAAAAATTAGCCGGGTATGGCAATACACACCTGTAGTTCCAGTTACTTGGGAGGCAGAGACAGGAGGATTATTTGGGCCCAGGAGTTCAAGGCTGCAGAGAACTATAATTGTGTCACTGCACTCTAGCCTGGGTGACAGAGCAAGACCTCGTCTCCAAAAAGTAAAAGTAAAATAAAATAAAGGCAGGCACAAAAAAGCTTACCTTGGTATGACAGTGGCATTCACATAGGAGTTGTGTGACCAGACCGGGTACCCAGTCTCCATGTGGCTTCCTTGTTGCATGTACCAGGTGGCTACTCCACAGGCCATGTCTTTTCTCATGCCGCTGTGTTCAAGTTCCAACCCCACTCCCACGGGGTCTTTAGCCTTTCTTGCCCACCCCCTTAACTTCTGAACTAACAGACACCCCGCAGCCTCCACGTTCTCATCTTCCGCCCGCTCTCTAGATCTGACATCCAGTCCAAGGAATATGAGTCACAACTTCCATGCCTTTGACTTGACCTTGAAAGGAGCCAAAGTTGTGCTCCGATCCCTCCACCTACACTAACTAGGAGAGAAAAGTAGGTTCCAGGGCTCGCTCTGGTACCAAAAATATGTTTCCTTCAGGATGACACCGCCCTGAGTGCCCAGAACAACTCCCTGGCCGGGACAGGGCAGGAAAAACAGGCACAGTGGCTGGGTGGGCAGTGTCATGACATAAGTTCAGGTCTGCATGAATAACCAACAGCACCCCATGACCACTGCAGTGTTGTGTTTTCGTTTCAGTGTGTGCATTTTGTCCATACTAAAAGGAAAGGTGGAAAATAAGGACACGGTAGTCATGCAATTGGAAGTTAAGAGGAAGTGGGCCTGCATGTGAAGAGTCACATACCATCTGTGTGCGAGAGAGGATTTGGCTGGCAGTGAGGGCTGCTTCCTCTTCAGAGGACTCATCCGTGTCCTCCTGGTTGGTCAGGTTGAGGCTGGGGGTGCTGCTGGAACACTGGTACTCCTGGAGGGATGGTGTGTCCCCTTTGTCAATGCTGTCCAGTGAGCGCCTGCGGACGCCCCAGTTGAAGTTGTCCATGCTCTCTCCCTGCAAAAACAAGGCGTGGCTTCTGAGACCTCAGACATGTGGTCACCAGTACAGCAGGTGCAACGTACCAAGAGAATATATGCCAAGATGAGGAACAGCAATGCGTTGTTAAAAGCAGAGTTTCAATCAGCCCTTTGATTTCTTTAAATTTTTAACACACCATTAAATATTTATATTTTAAAAAATCAGAAATATTTGACAGATGACCTGTTTTCACTAAATAAATTTATTGACTTTCTATCTTGTATTACTGGGGGCCAACTAAATCTACTACTAGGCCATTTCTATTCTAAAACACAAACATGGATGAGACCACAAAGACAAATATATCATGGATGACAACAAATAAACAATCCACAACACCAGGCTGCAACTTACCTGCAGCTCCTGGTTAGCAAAAAGGAAAACACACAGAATTAGAAAGAACGAAGACAAACATTGAAATATATGCTACACTTTTGGGGAAAACTCTTTGTGATTTCTCAAATCCAAAGACTGATTCAAGCTCTGGATTAAACTGTGCAGGAAGCCAACATGTGATTCAAACCACTTTTTAATGCAAAATATACTGTGGAAAAAAAGACAGACACTTAAAACATTTCTATGACACACCTTGGCAACAGAGACTTTAAGAAAGTCTTCAAAATTTACATAGATTTAAAACTTGGTACAAAGCAGAAACTGACTTAATAGACCCACATGTAGTTGACAACACACGAGGTCACAAGTATCATAGTCTGTAGGGTGGCCCTGGCTAAAGTCAATGGTCATTTTTTTACTATAAGGTAGTTTAAAATCAAGGTTACGGCTACCAAAACATAACTGTTGCCAATTCCAAAAGGTCAGCAGGAAATCTGACAGGTTTCCATTTCTCCCACTTAAGGATTCACATAAGGATGTTTCTGTGATGCTAGGCTGACCTTCCCTTTTGTGAGGACATAATTCTTACAGTCCCTCCCAGGCCTCAATATGGGTTACACTGAGTTATGTTAATTGCGTTGGCTAGCAAAATACAACTTTTCTGTATCCCTTTACTTAGGGAGGCCTTATCCAGAACAGAGGTTTCAAATCTTTCTCAAAAACAAAAAACAAAAAACAGAATAATATTTATTTCGATGGAAATTTTAGAGGGAAGCCAGTTGTGCAAAATTGAACAACAAGGCTGGAGCTGCCTGGCTGACGACGGGGTCCAGGGCTCTGCCTGTTGGGCCCTGGATGCAGCCCTGTAGTTTCTCAAGGCGTCTTAAAAGTCCCAGAGCTCTGCTGGTCATAGTTTGAAAATCATCTTCCTAGAACATATTTTTTCAAACATTCTTACGTAGCATGACACACATTCACAAAAACAGCCTCAGTATGTATTTATGTATTTGGTGAATGAATGAATCCATGCCGAGGGCTTTAGAAGTTTCATTTGCGGCCAAGTTTCTTTTGTAACAAAGTATCTCTTGCTAGGCATGGTGGCTCACACCTGTAATCCCAGCAATTTGGGAGGCTGAGGTAGTAAGACTGCTTGAAGTCAGGAGTTTGAGACCAGCCTAGGCAACATAGTAGGTAACAGTAGTGAGACATCGTCTCTACAAGAAAAATAAAAAAGTTAGCTGGGCTTGTGGCACCCAAGCCTACATTCCCAGCTATTCAGGAGGCTGAGGAGTGAGGATCTCCTGAGCCCAGGAGGCTGAGGCTGTGGTGAGTCATGATCATGGCACTGCACTCCAGCCTGAGCAATAGAGTGAAACACGGACCAAAACCAAAAAGTGTCTCTTCTTACCATGTTTTATAAAGACCATATCTAGGTTTTAGAAAATCTGCATCATTTGATTTGCCATAATTATTGAAGTATAATTAGAACTTCACACTACCCCCCAGATGACTGTGGTTTGAATTAACTACAGAATTACAATAAGCATCCTTAATCCATTCTGACTAAGGTTCTAGTGAATGTCACGTATATTACTCCTGACATTTCAGAGTACAGGATGAACTTGAAAGAATTTACAGTGCTCTTTAAAAAAAAAAAAAAAAAAGCAAACAAACAAAAAATAATCCTACCATTACAAAATGTCAAGAGCCTGCCTGTAGAAATTGAAATTCTGAACTGAGAAAAGCAAACAACTGCAGAAGAACTGAGAAGCTGCCCACCACCTTGAGGCAGGGTATCAGGTCTCTCTGACCTGGCTCGCTATTCCTGGTTGTGCACGTCTGGCCTAGTTCCTATGATACATTTTTCAAATGACAAGGGTGAATACAATTTTAAAGGATGGTGACTGGCACTTTATGAAAAAAAATTAAAAGGAAGAGAATAGAAAATACTAATATGCAGAGCATAGAGGAAGGATGCATGTTTTTGAAACTTATTTTAGAGGTATGCCTATGGATACACTTGTATGTGATATAAACTATATTAATTGTGAGCTCAGGTGTGGGGGCTCATGCCTGTACTTAACACTTTGGGAGGCTGAGGCTGTGGTGAGCCGTGATCATGCCACTTCAACACAGGCTGGGATTACTGTGAAAAAAAAGTTTGAAAGCCACTGCCCTGGAAGGTGCCGAGTTCTTATTTTTGATTCCTATGAACTTGCACAAGTCTTTGGGAGGATGTTCATGGAGGCTTGCGCAGTGGCCTCCACAGCTCCTGGGGTGGATGAGGGCATCTGAGTGACTCAGAGGGATGTGGTCATGTCCTCACATCATGGGGGGTGCTGAGGACACTGAGGAGGGGACCCTGACCTGGTCTCCTGTCAATAGTTAACAGCATGATGTGGACGGATCATCACATTTTCCTTTGCCTCCCCTGGACAGCCCTGCAAGAGCAATGATGGTACACAGGAGCTATGCATGAGCTGCGACCTTTTAGAAAAGGTGTGAGATCCTCGGGCATTCTGGCCTCTTTCACACAGACGCTTGCAACAATTTGGGAATATACATTTTTTCTGACGTAAGCTTTTCAGGTGTAAGAGACAGGTAGAGACCTGACTTCAGACACAGGAACAGCTTTAAGAGCTACGACACCAAGCCTGTCCTGCCCTTTTGTCTCAGTGACTGTTTCAGAAACTGGCATGAGTCTCCACTTGGGCCAGTGAGATGTGACAGGAAGCTTGCTAGGAGTATTTGGGAGAGTAACTCCTTCCCTGCTTAGAGGGCATTTCTGGAAGGGGCCGTCCCCTCCTCTGGCCGTCCTCTCCTCTGTCTGCAGAGATAGGACAACCCAGAGCACGGCACAGACACAGCTGAAGACACCCTGGGCCATATCTGAACAGAAAAATCCCAGCTCCGGACTAGTTCCATTTTGTGAGCTAAGAAGTTGACATTTTGAGTTTGAATTTCCACTTAGGAAACATCTAAATGGATACAACTATTAAGATCACTGAGAATGATTCACTTTGGAGGAGAAAGGCTTTGGGTGCAAAGGAAACTAGGCATCTAAGCGAAGTAGTCACCTGGTAAGGAGGACAGTGTTAGCAATATGACCTGAAAGGAAGAGGTGCAAGATGCCACAAAGCCTCTGTACTGTCAAGGTGGTGGTCAGTGCTGTCCTCTTTAAGATGGCATTTAATCCATTGATTTTATACTATTTTGTTACACATGAATTTGTTTAGCTCATGCAAAACACTTAAGTCTAAGTACACACTAAAGATAATTTTGAAGAAACTCATTATTTATTTTATATTTTTATTATTTATTTATTAATTAATTTTTTAGTTGGAGTCTCACCCAGGCTGGAATGCAGTAGCACATTCACAGCCACTGTAGCCTCAATCTGCTGGGCTCAGGTGATCCTTCCACTTCAGTCTTCCAAGTAGCTGGAACTACAGGCATGCACCACACCATGCCTGGCTAATTTTTTGATTTAATGTAGAGATGAGGTCTTGTCAAGTTGCCCAGGCTGGTCTTGAACCCGTGGATTCAGGCAATACTCTCACCTCAGCCTCCCAAAGTGCTGGGATTATAGGCATGAGCCACCATGCCCGGCCCTATTTTATATTTTTAAAGATAAGAAGAAAAATTGGATGTTCCTCTTCTATTTCAGACTTAATCTGCTACTGACTCATTGTGATAATCACACTTATTCCTAATTTAGATTTTTACCTTTCTGACTTGACACTGACCTCAACAAGGAAAGATCCTACAGTCAGGTGGTCCGTAATCCTCCCACAACTGTGACTTCTCTATAAATATGAACACAGAAAGCCCACATCCTTACCTCTGCATCTTCCAACTCAACATCTAAAAAGTCAAAATCCTTAAAAACACCAAACTGCTGCTCGCTGCTGTTGTCTTCCACAGCGAGTCCTTCTTCTTGAACGATGTCCTCCGTCGTGGAAATTAGGCTTGTCTGCTGGTCGCCAACTTCCAGATCCTCATTAGAAGAAAATACAACCTGATGTCCACACAGAAACAAGATAAGAGGTTCATCATGAGATCAGCACATGAGGTATCAGCCCCCAGGGACACTGCAGGCTTCACTGTCCATGAACTTTCAGCTCAAATTTGGGCTTCACAACTAACTGGCTGAATATCAATTAGCATAACCGCTGGCTGTCACAACAGACATTTTTTTTCTCATGCTTGGTTAATACTATAAGGTACATTTGAAAAGGCAAGGAGACAGAATCATTTCTTCATGAAATAACATGAGTTTTGAAACCTTCGCGTGCTGTTGTAATGACTCACCGATGGATTCTTTGGGAGGCCAGACTCTGGGCCACAGAGAGAGAGCACATTCATTAGCTTTTCTCTTGTTCTTCGCTAAAGAAAACAAAAACCAAATGTTAGGATTACTGATGAAATGAGGCAGCTCCTCAAGTTTTCCTTCATATAACAGAATGGCTTATCTTCTGTGAATGCTCAGTGTTGATGTTTTTGCACCTGTGACAACTGTGGCCTCTTCCAGCTGACGGGAACCAAAGCATTTGAGTTGGAGCCAGAAGACGTGGAGGAGGTGCTTCGAGTGACAGCAATCACCTTCGGTTTCCCATTTCTTCCTGCTGCACTGTGCTGATCGCCATATTTATTCCCAATAATTGGTGTCTGCGCAGAAACAAAATGCACATTTGATGCAAACATTACAACATAAAAGACATTTAAAAGAGTTCACAGTGTACCTATGATGACATTTTTTTTTACAACCAACCAAAAAATACTATTAGGAGAAAGAGATTGCTTAGCATGAGGTAGGTGTTACCAAAAAAAAAAATCAAACGCAAAGATACCTTTTTAAAAAAAAAATCAAGAGACTTTATTGGAAATGGTAACTTTATATCTGGGGTTATCAGAAAGTTTATTCCTATTTTAAAAATAATCTGCTTTTCAAAAAAACCACCACCTCTACCTCCCCCCTACTATGATTATAAAATAATCCTCCTTGTAGTAAGCTCAGAAAATATAAAAATAGATTTTTAAAAAATTACCTGTATTCTCACCACTCAGATTTCACGCCTGTTAAATGATGGTGCTTTCAAAGCCTGTTTTTAAGTGAGCTTCACTTATGTGGTTTAGCAAATACTAAACATAAATAATGACTTTAAAGAGGAAAAAGAAAATTTCGATGCTTTTTCCTTACTACAAATCTGATGTGTCATATTTCCAAAATGTATTTCAGTAAAAGTTCTATGATGATACCAAACTCATTTATCTTTATGTGGCTTTGTAAAGTGTCTGGGATTTGCATTTGACAGGAAAACCCACGCTCACACACATGTCCTGCAGTCCTCTAGGATCTTATCTTTTCTTTTTATCTCCACAGCCTCAGCCCCTACCGCTCCCTTCCGGCCTTCACTCCTGCAGGCTGTTGCCTCCCGAACATGCCTCACTCTTTTATGGACCCACATGCTGGCACACTCTGCCCTCTTTGCACACTTTGCCCTCTTTGCACAGAATATGCACCAAGTAAATCCCAATCCTCCTCCCTGCCATGATCATACCTGACCATGGACCTTGCTGTCAACTGCTTATGTGCCTGTCTCCCCACAACATGTCCCTGGATCCCGTGTGATCACTTCTACCTGCAGCACATCTCCACAGTGCTTATGCAGGGCAGGCACTAAGGAATTTTGGATGAAACACTTAGAAATGAAGCATATGAAATGTTCTGAGAATTTGCATCACTGCTTCAAATAAAATAATTCTGTTACACACTCAATTTCTGGCTCAGAAAAAAAACCCAGGCAAGCCACATCTGTCCATCATGTTCCTATGCTACATACTTAATAGGAAAACCTCTCAGATGTTGCTGAAAAATTAGCAATAATCATACTTTCCATCTAAAAAAAAACACACACAAAAAAAGTTCTGGATGAATTCTAAATTCAAGAGTAAATTGCAATAAAAATGTTTTTTACCTGCAGAATCCTAATCAACAGAAAAACAATTAAAAAACAATCTTTCTCAACTTCTCAGTAATACTTTCTTTTTTTCTTTTTGAGTCAGGGTCTCACTCTGTCACCCAGGCTGTGTGCAGTGGCATGATCACAGCTCACTGCAGCCTCTACCTCCTGGGCTCAGGTGATCCTTCTGCTTCAGCCTCCCAAATAGCTAGCACTACTGGTGTGTGCCACCACGCCTGGCTAATTTTTTGATTTTTTTTTTTGGTAAAGATGAGGCCTCACTATGTTGTCCAGACTGGTCTTGAACTCCTGGGCTCAAGCAATCTTCCTGCTTCTATCTCTCAAAGTGCTGGGACTCACCGTGCCTAGGGGTCCCTAAAATATTGATCAATAATTTTCCTCTTGAAAAATTCCTCCCTTGACTTTCAAAAGACCATTTCAATGGCACCAAAGCCACAAAGAGTGGGCTCAGTGCTGAAGGAAAACAATAAAAAAAGGACTCCCAGCAACTGCTGAACATCTTCACAAGAGATTTGTTCTCATATAAGACATAATCAAGTCCCAAGCCCTGCTCCAACTAGCCTGAAAAGATCCGTTTCTTGGGTTTTCTTTCACTCAGGTCTGATTTCCTTTTTATTTTCTTTTTGTGGTTTCCATTACCCGCCTCCACACACTGGAAAGACTTGCAGTGTTTTTCCACCCACATTTTTCTCCAAAACTTCAGACCCCATTCTCCTCGTCCACAAGGCCTCTTGTTCATGTGTGCTCAGCCACCTCAAGTCAACCCGCCCATAGGAGGACTCGGGACATTGTCTCCTGGCTGGGCCTGGTCTGCCTCCCCATGTTCTGAACACATCAATGTTCCTCCCCAATCGAGGCCACCTTTAGATCCTAGAGGCCACGCCCTCCCTTTCTATCCAATCCCACCAGTCACTTCCTTGGTGTTTCTGGAACCATCTCTTCCCTCCTCATTTCCTCTGCAGCTGTCTTGGGGTGGTCCCATGCTATCTTCTGCCCAGTTTATTCTGGCAGGTTCCTTACCAAAATTTTCTCCCTTCCCTCCTGGTCTACATGCACCGTGTTGCTGAGTGATCTTCCCAAAATGCAAATCCTACTATTTCCGACTACAGTTTAGAATCCATTAAGAGTTCCTACTGCTTTAGGTAAAATCAGGTCGTGGCAAGGAAGGCGCAATTCCTGAGATACAGCCCCATCCTACCTGCGGCCTGTCCCCAGCCATGCTCTGCCTGCACAGTCTGGACCCTGCGCTCAAGGTACGTTGTATGAGCTGTAAGCACCGGAACCCCATGTGTTCTCACACTCACAGGTCAACTCACTCATGCTCTGCTTCCTTGGATTTAACCACCTCTCAGAAACTCGCCAGCCATGCCTATCTAGAGTGACTTGTCTTTCAATATAGCCTGGATGCTCCTTCCTCCCGAGACTGTTCTTGAAGGGATGCCAAAGTCCCAGAGCACATGCAATCTCCTTCCAGTCAAGCACAGACCATGTCATCTGTCCTGTTCCCCTGAGAGCCTGCAAGCTTCCTGAGAGCAGGCCTTCCCACACGCCTGCTCTAGTTCGTGACACCTATCTTGTGTCTAACACTGAATACGATGAGCTCAATGTTTGTTGAATAAAATGATGGAATGAATAAATGGACATGTGGAAATTCTCAACAGCACTTCTCTCAATTCCTGAGTGTCTTACCTCAGATATATCAAAATGAAAGTCCAAGGTCTTTCCTGGCAACTCCTTGGAAACATTATTAAAGATCTTAGTGAAGGATATTTCTGGAGAGCCCATGTCTCCCCCGTAGGTCTTGGGGATGTCATTGGGTACGACAAGACTTGCAGAGCGTGACACCACCAGTTTGAGTATGTTCAGGGCTTCCTTCCAGTAAGGACTCTGGTATAAAAAACAATTAAAATATAAAAGTTGCAAATGCATATTTAACTAAGAACAAAGATCTAGTGTAGACTATGAAAATATTATTTATATTAAAAATCTGTAAAAATTATTCATTTTCACTTTCAGATCCTTAACGGAAAGTCTGACTCACAGGAGAAAGAAAACAATGTAGTACAGATTGATCAGATACTGTATCCATAATAATGCTACCATACTGGAACATCTTTGCCATTCTCCCAATAAACGTTTTGTAATGATCATTAATTTGGAAAGTCCAATACAGTGATATGGCAGTCGTGGTAAATAAAGGGGTTGTATATATGTGAACTTGCTAGATGAACGAAGTTTATGGATTTACGACTCTAAAATTTAAATATTTTAAGTCTTGCAGATAAAATCTTTTTTTTTGAGTTGGAGTACTCTGTCACTCAGGCTGGAGTGCAGTGGCATGCAGGCTCAATGTCACCCCAGCATCGACCTTTTGCGCTCTGGCAACCCTTCTGCCTCAGCCTTCCAAGTAGCTGGATCTACAGGCACGCACTACCACACCCTGGTAATTTTTTTTCATTTATTGTAGAGATGAGGTCTCAGCAAGTTGCCCAGACTGGTCTTGAACCCATGGGCTCAGGCAATCCACTTGCCTTGGCCTCCCCAAGTGTGGGATTACAGGCTGAGTCATCGAGCCTGGCCAAAAAACCTTTTTTTTTTTCCTGAGGCAGTGTCTCAGTCTGCGGCCCAGGTTAGAGTGCAGTGGCATAATCATGGCTCATTGTAGCCTTGACCTCCTGGACTCAGATGATCCTTCTGCCTCAGCCTCCTCCAAGCTGCTGGGACTACAGGCACACATCATGTCTGATTGTTTTCAATTTTTTTTTGTAGAGATAAGGTCGTACTATATTGTCCAAGCTGGTCTCAGTTTTTTGGGGGCTCAAGCAATCCTCCTGCCTTGGCCTCCCAAAGTTCTGGGATTACAGGTGTCAGCCATTGCACCCAGCCAAAAAATTTTAATGTATACTTTATTTTAGATATAAAAATACTAAAATATCAAAACATATATTGGACTTTTTTTCTAGATGGCCCAGGGCCCAAATACTGAGTGCACACATCATGCTAAAAGGTGAGGTACGCAGGGATTACTGAGTCATAGAGGGTTACGTTATTTCCCTTACACATTTGTGGCTATGTTTTTTTGAGCTTTTTCCTGCTTTTCTTAGTTTTCTATATTTCTACCAACATAATTTAGGAATGATTTATGTGATCACTGTGTATGCAGAAAAGAATCTATGTTTGATAAAGAATTTACAATATCATTTTTTTACCATCTACTGAAAAAAATACACCAAAAAACCTACTTTTTTCTTATTTATGATACCAAAATCAAATCTCATTTATGTATTATACATATTCTTTCACAGTTGACATCTGAGGAAAGAAAAACACCATTAAAACAAACAAAAAAGGTAGTGAAAAATCCTTGGCAGAATGGAATTATCAAATTTGGTTAATAACAACTTGATACGAAGACACCAAACACAAAATATGCAATAGCTAAGTATTTCTGTTTCTAAACTTTGCTCTAGAAAAGGCAAATGTAAATGGAGCATAAGCCCAAATATTGACCAGGTGCGGCTGTGGGAGCGTTTGTTCTCTGGGATAAGCAGCATTTCCACACCGGTCTGCCCAGCACGCGGTCCTTAAAGGAGTGTTCACGGGTGAAGTTCAGGACAGACCTGGTGGATGTGCCATCATTTTACATTATACCAAGTTGAATTTTCTCCTTTCTAAATATCTGGTACTTTTTTGCAGATACAAAAAGGAACTCTAAAACACAGACTCTTCAAAGAGTTCTTCTGTGTCTAAATGTCATCTACGTTCATGGCATAGAATCTGGTTAAAAACAAAACGGAGTTGGGCTCAGTGGCTCAGCCTGTAATACCAGTACTTTGGGAGGATGAGGTGAGTGGATTGCCTGAGCCTATGGGTTGGACACCCGCCTGGGCAACTTGTCAAGACCTCATCTATACAATAAAAAATTTTAAAAAATGAGCAGAGTGTGGTAGCACATGCCTGTAGTTCTAGCTATTCGGAAGGCGAGGCGGAAGGATCGCCAGAGCCCAGCAGGTCGACACTGGGGTGGCCGTTGAGTGTGCCACTGCACTCCAGCCTGGGCAACTGAGTGAGACTCCTACTCAAAAAACAAACAAACAAAAAACCAGAAAGGTACAAAGACAGAAATTCCAACAAGTCCGACATTCATGCAGGTGTACCCTCCTGTCCCACTGAAACACACATCGTAGGAAGAACTGTTGAAAACAAAAGTAGGAATCATGCCAGGCCTGCCATTCAGTTATTCCAAGAACATTTTCCATGTCATGAATATTCCTGAAAATATGATTTATGGGTTAACACTTTCCCTACACATGACATCCAGGTGTTCCTGATTTTTCAAAATAATCAATGGCTCTGAGCTGGGCAGCAGTCGCAGGTAAGTTCTGTGGTCACTTACCTGGACATATTTGCCAATTATCTTTATGATCTCCAGATTAAACTGCTTGGCAGGGGCTGTAGACAGGTCAATATGACTCAACAGGCTGTAGATAATCTGGAGTAGTGACTGCTGCATACTGGACAGCCCTTTTTCTAACAGCTGTAAGTAACATGAAAAAATATACCTCAATCATATTGAAGAACAACTGAATATTTACATTTATGATGTCAAAAAACACAATAGACTTAATCCATGAGTTTACAGTCAGATTATTAGAAATTTAGAGGCTAATACAGTAAAGGGCAGTGTCTATTACTGCTATTTTTCTTTGGGTTAGAAAGGAGAATTAGGTAACTATTTTTCATTTAAATCATAGTATTCGATTTCCTAATCCATTTCAGTTAAATACCATTTATCATGGGTTAAGAGAAAAACCACTATGTCACCACCACCAAGGAATAACCACCAGCAAGTCATTTGCACTAGCCAGGTACTAGTTATGTGATCTTGAACAAGTTTCCTACCCTCTGAGCTTTGGTTTTTTAAAATCAAAACTAGAAATACTATCTACCTCATATGGTTTGTAGGGCAAATTAAAGGTATATAGTTTTAAATACTTGTAACTAGCTTCGGTACTACTGTCAGTAATCATTTGAGGGCTATTAATAATACTAACACAAGAAGCAAAAGCATCCTCTTCACAGGGTGGGAGACTACTACCCCCATTCAGGAGGCTGCACTGCACTAGGGTGGACCTTGGACACCTTCCAAGAGTCTTCAGAGAGAAGGGGACTGCCGTAATGGGGAGCTTTACAGGGCATAGCGTGAAGCTGGTCTAAATGATTCCATTCAAGCTGAGAAGGGATGGTATGCCTGGCTTTACGCTGGTTCTCATCCTAGAGGTCCAGGTATGTAAAACAAACTACTGACACGCATTCATCCAGGTTAAGAATGCTGGGCAGACAGCTCTCTGTCAGCTCACTAAAACACAAAGCCGACAGCAGCAAACCTATCAAAACCAACCCTGTAAACATTTATACCAGGCCTGAAGCATTTTATGATCATCAACACTGGTGACTTAGCTAAGTTAATAGTGTTATAAGTATTATTTTAAATATTTGGTCAGTTATAAACAATTTGTTTTACTTTCTAGAATTTTTTAAAACTTATTTTATTTTTTTTTTAGAGACAGGGTTTCACTCTGTGGCCCAGGCTGGTGTGCAGGGGCATGATAACAGCTCACTGCAGCCTTGATCTCTTGGGCTCAAGTGATCTTCCTGCCTCAGTCTCTTGAGTAGCTAGCTAGGACTACTGGTGCATGCCAGCATGCCCAATTACTGTTTTTATTTTTAATTTTTTTGTAGAGATGGGGACTTGCTATGTTGCCCAGGCTGGTCTCAAAATCCTGACTTCAAGCAATCCTTCCTCTTTGGTCTCCCAAAGTGCTGGGATTATAGGCATGCGCTACAGCGTTCGGCAGCTAGAAGTCAACTTTTTGAAGAGAAAGGTATTACTTTATTATAAGCTAACAAATATTTTGGTGACTAGGGATTTCTTCCTTTTGAAGTTCTCTTTGTGGTTGTCTACTTAGTCACTTACTCTTCTGGGCACGAAGCTACTTATTATGTAGCAAAGAAATATTAACTTTTCATGCTGGTCTAGGGCTTTTTTTATCATTCATTTTTTGCCACTTCTAAATCACATTTTAGGAAGGAAGTAAATCATCAAAATAAAAACTTATTCATCAGAAGTGCTTTTGTATACTCACTATTACTCTAAAAAGGATTTCAATGCCATGAACTAATTTTGTAGAAATAAAAATTTTAATCATTTTCTAGGATAAGACCATCAAACCTCATTTTCCATTTTAAATAAAGGCGAAGTTGACATTATTTAGAATTTTATGTTACTTAAGAAGAGTGAATAAGGAAATAAACACTGCAAATGAAAAAAAACCCCTACCTTTATAGAAACTTTCTTTATACTTGAGAAAATCTCCCTATGTTTGTCTTTTTAAAAAGTCATCTATATTCACTCTCAGAGACAACTGAAATATTGGTACCAGTGCTACTTCTAGGAGTAAACCTATTTTAAAATGTTTGATCAGTTATGCATGATTTAAGTTTGTTTTATGTGCAATTTCTAGGAGGTTTTAAAAATTTATTATTTTTTTAGAGACAGCATCTCTAAAAATGCATACATATGTGTGTGTATACTGTGTGTGTATATACTGTGTGTGTGTGTACCGTATGTAAGGTGTATATAGTGTGCATGTGTGTATACAGTGTGCATGTGTATATGCATGTATAGTATATGTATACTGTATGTATAGTGTTTGTATACAGTGTGTGCAGTGTGTACATACAGTGTGTATACAGTATATATATAGTGTGTATACTGTGTGTGTATATAGTGTGTATATACAATGTGTGTATATAGTGTATATACAGTGTGTATGTAGTGTGTGTATGCAGAATGTATGTACATACCATGTGTTTATATAGTGCGCATGTGTGTATATAGTATATGTATAATATATAGTGTGTGTATAGGGTATATATACAGTGCATGTCTACAGTGCGTATATAGTGTGTCTGTATGTACATGTGTGTGCACATGCACACTTGCCTCTGCCAAGTAGGTCACGAGACTGAACGTGGTCTCCGAGAAGGAGTCATGCAGGTACCGGCACACCACGTTGATCCAGTTGGCGCAGTCCCTGGAGTACGTGTGTGTGCTATACAGACTCATCATGTGTGCCAGGTTGACCAGTGTGGGGCACTTTGCTTCTGCACAAACCTAGAAAACAAACACAATTATTCCACTCACCTAAAGACACATGTTTAAACTTGGCTTTATACTAAATGCATTAATGACATCATTCAGATGTGTAGTTTAAAAGTTTATGATTTCATTTCAATACAGCAAAAAACTTAACTAGAAGAGAAAGTAGTGCATGCCATTCTTCAGAGACAACCACAGATGACATGGAAAGAGGACCAGTGTGCCCAACCTCCTGTGAGTCACAACAGCATGGCTTCTTCAGTCCTGAGAGCTGCGAAACTGTCTCTGGTGAAGCCCATGTGTGGTTTCATAAATCCTAGCCGTCACTGGGCTCAGTGCTCTAGTACCTGCACAGACTCAGCCTGGGACTCCCAGGGAGGCTGTGTGGTTGTGCCAGAGGAGATGTGGCAGACTCCTGCTGTGTCCAAGGGCCTCAACATGAGTGACAATCAAAGGACATCACTGGGGCTCCAATAAAGCTCAGAGTTCCACAACCCTAGGAAGCAACAATCGGCATGGTAGGTCCCCAAATGGTCTTCAGGAAATTACCTCAAGCTCTGAGACCCTTGGCTAGTCTTCTAGAGGCCACACCAAAGCCTGAATCCACAAATGTCTGGGGCATCTTACAGGCAGAATGCATCTTCTGAGCCTGTCCCTGGGTTACAGATATGGCTGCTCCTTGGCCTCCTCCCAGGGACACCTTGAGCATGCAGACTAGAAAGGACCACGCTAGGCTCACATAGCTGTCACAAAACACTAGCCTCATCGTAATTTTAGAAAAATTTCATTTTTCCTTACTTATTCTTGTATCTTATTGATGTTTTGTATGTATTTTCACAACTGCCTAAAGCATCTAGTAAAAAAATTAGAGTGTTACTTTTTAAAAATATATATATTTTCAGCTGGGTGCAGTGGCTCATGCCTGTAATCCCAGCACTTTGGGAGGGGGAAGCGAGAGGATTGCCTGAGTCCAGGGGTTTGAGACCAGCCTGGGCAACTTGGCGAGATTTCGTCTCTACAAAAAAAAAAAAAAAAATTAGCTGTGCATGGTGGTGCATGCCTGTGGTTCCAGCAACTTGGAAGGCTGAGGCTGAAGGATCACCTAAGCCCAGGAGGTCGATGCTGAGGTGGCCATGAGCATGCTACTGCACTCCAGCCTAGACAACAGAGTGAGACACCTACTCAAAATAAATAAATGAATAATAAAATATATGTATTTTCAAATGAGCATCATCGACTCTTACTTTGATAGTTCAGAAGACATTTAATAAGCTCGGAGGCTGAGTTCATCATTCAGACACTATTGCTGGATAGTCCTAATACATGAATATTAACATAGTACCTTGAAAGTTATTTTACAAAATCATTAAAAACTACTAATTTCATACATTTAGTCTTCTACCCATAAATCAGACACCAGAAAGAAAAAACAAAATTTTGGTTGATATTTCTTATTTGCATCTCAAGATAAAATAATTAACCATATTTTTAAAATTTCTGGCTGGGCATGGTTGCTCACAGCTGTAATCCCAGCACTTTTGGGAAGTCGAGGAGAGAAGATTACCTGAGCCCAGGAGTTTGAGACTAGCCTAGCCAACATGAAGAGACCTCATCTCTACAATAAATCAAAAAATTAGCAGGGCATGGTAGTGTGCATCTGTAGTTCCAGCTACATGGAAGGCTGAGACGGAAGGATCATCAGAGTCCAGCAGGTTGACGCTGGGGTGGCCATGAGCATGCCACTGCACTCCAGCCTGGCGATGGAGTGGGACTGCAACTCAAAAAAAAAAAAAAAAATTAGCCAGGTGTGGTGGTGAGTGCATGTAGTCCCAGCTACTTGGAAGGCTGAGGCAGAAAGATCTCTTAAGCCCAACAGGTCGAGGCTGCAGTAGCCGTGATTGTGCCACTGCACACCAGCCTAGGCAACAGAGTGGGACTCTGATGTAAAAAAAAAACCCAAAAAACAAAACAAAAAAAAAACACCAAAACACATAATTTTATAATTTCACAATTTCTTTAAATTCTTTAAAATATAAAAACTTTCCTGAGGAATAAAACAGCCTATAGAATTCTTATGTTCTTAATTTTTTTTCTAAAGAATGATTTTTAAAAACTTATTTTTGAAAAGGGAAAAAAATCCCTTGGAATACATGCTATACAAATTTATAACTGAGCAAGTGACTTAGGTTTCATTTTGAAATGTCAGATTAAAATATGATTCGAAAAAAGTGTGCTTTGTAATGAACGTTTTTAGCAGCTATTTTTGCCATTATGAATCACTAACGAGAGCATTATTTGTCCTAAGTGTTGCTTTGTTTTGAAATTCTGTGCTCTCCAAGGGCACAAACAGTAGAAACAGGCATAGCTGCATAATGAGGAAGCACATAATGGCAAAAAATTACCCTTAACAGTTACAAGTGAGAAACTAATTAAGAAATCAATTTAATTCACATCCAGCAGGTTGCTAAAAGCATTCGGAGAGGGAACCTCTGTGCACTGCCCAGCAGGAGGAAAGCAGACTGGTAAACAACTCAGGAGTCACAGAAAGCCAGATCTGATTTCTTAAAAATCAGTAAGATATTTGGGAATTTCCCATGCCCTACTGTGGTCTTGATACCAGCAGGTGATACTTGAGGATTGGGACACTACTCAGGCCTGCAGGTCTGGCTCCTTGGCCACCCCAGCAGTCAGCAGGTGGTGGGGGCTTGGCACACTGCAGCAGCCACGCTCCAGGGCTTCTATTTCCCTTTCCTGGGTATTTATGCCTCTTATTTCCTTGGAATATCTAATTAAACCAGTATCCATTCCCCTCCCTTATAGTCTCTTTCTAAACTCACACCAGAAAAAGAAGTCTTTGTTTACAAAATGTGTCTAATTATGTGTCACCAGAATATTAAAATGAAAGTTATTTTAGTAAGTTTTATATCCTGTATCACTTTTAGACTTCATTAATGTAAATACATGTAGTTGGTTTCTTTAGGCAAATAGTCATTTTCAAAAGGCAGCATTTTATTTCTGATAATAACTTTCACTCTCTCTTGATATTTAATGTTCTTATTGGATTCGTTTATTAAATAAAACCAAGAATAAAAGACAACTTCTGGCTTATTTCCTACCACTGCCATTTGTATTAGAGAAACTGGTATTTTTCCATTAGCTAAAAAAAAAGGTTATTTTCAAATACATGCTCTTAAATGATGCTGTTAAGAATCACTCCATAGCTAATTTACTTAGAAATCTAATTGGGGATGGAGTCAACAATATATTTTATTAAATGTTTTCTTGCCACTTGTTAAGTATTACCTACCAAGATAATGAAAAGGTTCTAACTTTTCTTACTGCCAATGGGATGAACTGGACTGGAGTATTTTTTTACTACATTTGTACCCAGAGATAAATGTGGGCCTCCAGCACTGAGCTGGGTGCCCTGGGAAGAAAGACAGGTATCCGATCTGGCTTTCTGCATGCTCACTCTTTCCATTCACTGAGCTCCTTGCTAACAAAATCTCAGTTTTTGAAAAATTTGCTTTTAAAAAGCAAGGATTTGACTGGAGATGGTAGCTCATGCTTATAATCTGAGTACTTTGGGAGGCCAACGCAGAAGAACTACCCAAGTCCAGGAGTTTGAGACCAGTATAGGCAACACAGCAAGACAACTGCAAAAAGTTTAAAAAAAGAGAAAAAAAGCCAGGCATGGTGGTGCACACCTATAGTCCCAGCTACTTGGGAGGCTGAGGCAGAAAGATCACCTGGGCCCAGGAGATTGAGGATATGGTGAGCCATGATCCTGCCACTGCACTCCAGCCTGGGCAATAGAGTGAGAGAGCCCCCAACTCAAAATAAAATAAAATGAAATAAAAATAAACAAAAAGGATTTTATTTGCTTGTTCTCTTCTTTGAAAACTTGTTTTTTTCCTCTCAGCGCTTCTGCTGCTATTTCCTCACCTCCCCAGTGTACCTAAGCTCTGTGTATGTATGTTACTTGTAAACTATGGAACTCCTTCCTCCCCCAAGACTCAGTGATTGACACAAAAAATAAGAATGATATTTAAGCAGAAGGTAGCCATCTGAGAATTCCTTATTGTTCTTAAAGAGGGAATTAATAGAAATCTAAAATGTCCCGATCATACTCTTCTAAAATGACAATTAAGAGCTATCATAGTTTTAAGCAAATGTTAGCAGATGATTTAGAAAGAGCTACACAACTATTTCTAAAACTGTATGATGGGAGGGAAAGAGCTAAATAGAGAATGAGGGAGCAGAGGGAAGACAAAGAAGAAGAGTGTTAGAAAGCAGAAAGTGAACACAAAGAGAGAAAACGATCAGAATCCCAAGATACACCCTGTCCTCTTGGGCACATGCAATGTCTTCTAGAAAACTCCACCCCTCAACCACTCTGCCTCTCAGCAAGGATCTTACTTGGGTTATTCCCACCCAGCCTCGGACGTCAGCCTAGACGTCACCTTCTCCAGGAAGCCTCCTGCTCTGTGTGCCCTGAAGTATCCTATCCTCCACTGGCAATACACTCATCAGCCCCTACAGGGAGTATGCTCATGTGACTCCTCTCCTCACAGCAAGGACCACTTGCAAGGGAAGGTCTCCCGTCTCTCTGCCTAGCACAGCATTTGCGACACCTTGCCCAGGTGAACATGTGGTAGTGAATAAAGGAATGAATGAGAAACTGATGGAGAGGTGGAAGATGAAGCAGATAAAGCAGGGAGAGGAGCAGAAAGAGGCTCAGACTCAGAGGAGCGTGATGCTAATCAAACAACTTTATTCACTGCCAGGTTGTGACTCATCATTTCTGGAGAACGCCTTGACGTGCAAAAAAAGAATGAAAATTTAGATGCAAATTCCACTTGAAAGGGACAGTGAGAGAACATTAAAGAGACCCCCCCTTGAGATAACGGCACGGCCACTCCCAGGCAGTGTTACCTTCGGCATAACAGGTGCTTACCTTTGCTATTCGACTAGCTGTTTCTTTGCAAAACTGAGTTGGGCTGTCAAAATGCTGGATTAAGTGAGGCAATAAGCAAAGGATGTTAAGAGGAAAGCCTATCAAAACAAAAAAAAAAGCAAACAATAACCAATTTTATTGTACATCATTTTAAAAGTTAAAGGTCTTTTTCAAATGGTCCACAGAAACCATTTTCTTTTCATTTCCTGAGGTACTAGATCTGCTAAATTCCTTTTTTGCTTTTACCAAATAACTTAAGCTACCTGGCACAGAGAAATAACTATTCGCAGAAAAGCAGAAATTAGTGATCTCAAAACAAATGGTTAGGCTACATCTCACTACTTCAAACGCACGTGTCAGTGCCATTATGTGGCCGTCACCTGACAGCTGGGAGGGATCCACCAGTACGTGTCCGGAGACAGAAATGAGCTTGCTGAGGAGGTGCACGGTCATTTCCTGTGTGGCCGCCGAGGTAAAGCCCTTGAGGAAGAGCTGCTGGAGTCCAGGGAAGGTAGTCCACTTCAGCTTGTTCTGCACGCTCTCGATCTTCTCTCGACTTTCTGACTTATCCAGAGGCAGGTGGACGAGCAGCTTGTTGAGAAGCCGGAGGGCCAGGAGGTATTCATACTCGTAATCCGACTCCAGCAGTGAGGCTGCTATCCAGAAGATGGTGGCCATCAGGTTGGCGGGCTCGGTGGTGGGTTGTACGTCATACCCGCCCTTCTCCCTCAGGGAGGAGAGGCTTCGAGTCCTCGCCAGGCTGCTGCTATGCTGGAGCCGGCCATCCATTATATCCAGTGTGTTACTCCGCCGTCGGTCACCTCTCCGGTCACCAATCAGACTTAGTCTCAAAGAGTTACTTCTTACGTTACTGTGACACCCCAAGGAATGGCTGCTGTTAATGGGACTTGTGCTCAGATTGAGCTGCCCAGTGCTCTTCCTGTTAGCTGCATATTTGTTTCCCATTAGAGGATCATGGTAGGAGGTTCTAGAAAGAGAGAGAGAGAGAGAGAGAGAGAGAGGGAGGGAGGGAGGGAAGGAGGGAAGAAAGATGAATTAATTTTACTTTTGAAAACACTAAAAAATAGTAGCTGTTAACCAGAAAAATCATTTCTCAGTAAATGTGACTTTGTTGGATCACATTTCAGTTTTCCCTTCAAATTAAAACAAAATGCATGCCAGTGCCTTTCCTTCTATGGCTAACGGCTTCCCTGAGTTGCGGTGGGGTTTGACTTGCTGAGAAAGTTCTGCTACATGATCACTAGAGACCTTCAGCTCTGGAATTAGCATACGTTGCAGCCACAGCCAACCTCATCTGTCCTGTCCTCACACTCGACAGTCCTGATCCCTGCTTCTGTCAATGGCACACCCTTCCCAAGAGCCAAGCTGATGAATGTGACTTCTCCTCCTCCTAACATCCAGCTGTCTTTAAGAAAACACTGACAACTGTGAGAGGGGAAGGGGGAAAGGGAAGCACACAATGTCAATAAGGATACCTGATCTCAAACCCCATGAAGTGGGTACCAAAGGGAGACTCAAACTTTACGTGTACAAAGACCATTTGTATACCTAGTTCTGAATTGTATCCCACATCTTTAAAATAAAGTTACAAATAAATACATTAATTAATTAAAAAAGAAAACACTGGCTAATGCCTTCTAGACAAGTCAACCACATGCACACCATGGGGAAGGGTGCAATGCACACTTGGGTGTGGTGGCAGCCTGCTGATGCTATTATTAAAACGTGAAGAAACACTGTGAGCCCCAAGGATGAGATCGTCAGCCCTCTCTCTCGGGGGAATCAGAGATGCTTAGCTGGGAGGGACACCAGATGGGACTGAAAGATTAGTCCAGCGGGGTCCACAAGGTGGAGAAAGCCTGAGAGGCTGCTGAAGGGAGGAGCAGCAGCAGGTGACAGGTGGGACCCTGAGGCATCTAGGCTGCTGGCAGCATTGGGACGCTGAGTGACAGGGATGATGCCTGTGTGGCACAGGGGTAGGAGCTCCAATTGGGAATCAGAGGAAGGGCAGCACCTCCAAGGCCAGCCCCAGATTTCCTACAAGTCCCCATGGTTTGGGTCAGACTTGGGGTGCTCCTCTTCCTGCCAGCATTAGAACATCATGTTGTAGGTGTGGGTGTTTAGCTCTGGGCTCTGGCTGCATGAGCAAGCCTGATGCAATTCTTACTGAGCAAGGGCAGAGAGGAGGTCGTGATGCTTCATGGTTTCTGCCAACGTGTCGATTGCAGACTCCAAGGTGAGGAGAAGCTCAATCACGAAGCCCTGGGGAAGGGCAAAGTTAATGAATTACACTCTGGAAAGAGAACCACGTGGACTTCCTGATGACAGCTAACACACAAACTGACAACTGCGAGGTGCGGGGGTGGGAGGGACACAACATCAGTAAGGGAATCTGATCTCAAACCCCACGAAGTGGGGACCAAAGTGAGGCCCAAACTTTACCTGTACAAAGACCACTTGTATACCTAGTTCTGAATTTTACCCCATATCTTTAAAATAGTTATACATAAATATATAAATATATTAATTAATTAAAAAGAAGACACCAGACATCCACACGACAGGTGACTGGACACAGCCTATTGGTTGAGGAATGTCACTAAACCCATGCTAATGCCTGGGGGATTGTGATGGTGCTGACGTGCAACACAGCTCTGGGTGGAAGATGGGAGCCATGCTTCTCTCTTCCATATCTAACCATAATCCATCAGCAGTACATGAAAACACGACTTTAAAATATAGCCTAGTCTGGCTGCTTTTCTCACCTCCACAGCAGGCCTGATCAGAGTGACCCACAGCCTGGACACTCAGTCACCTCCTGACCACGCTGGCTCCTACTTGTGCCCCCTAAGACTCCACTCTGGCATCAGAGTGAGTTTTGTAAAAAGCAACTTGCACCCCTCAACCACCAAAACCCCTGAGTGGTTCTCCACACATTCAGATAAAGTCTCCCCCCACAGGGGCCTCCTGATTCCTACAGGACCTGCCCTTGCCTGCTCCCCCACCCCCCGTCTCTGTTACACATCCTAGAAGACATTCTAGCTGCCCAGGTTTTCTTCGTGTTTTTTTAAAAAAGTTCAGTGCTTCTGCCATAGGATCTTTGCACATGTCAATCTGTCTCCCTCGGCCTAAATGTTCTTCCCAATCACAGCAGGGCACTCTGACTTTAGTGGCTGTTCACATACCCCTTCTCAGATGACAATATACAAGCAGTTCTGCGGCCTTCCCTTTCTCAACCTTCTACCTTCCAATTCCCACAGTGCTCGTCACTTAAGAGAAACTGTGTGATGTGCAAAGCGTAGCTGAAGGTGTGCCTCCCCACAGCTCCAGAACACCGGGAACCATGTCTTATTCACCAGTGAGTTCTCGAGGTCCAGAACAGCAGTAAAAAAGCAACCAGCCTGTACAAACTGATGTAAGCTCTCCAAGAGTATTTCACTTAATTTATCTTAAAAAATGAAATTCAGTGTTCGCTTTACACTTAAGTTTAATTTCTTATCTCTTTTGCCTTGTGGTCCATACTGGGATAATATCCAGGGGTGTGCATGTATATTTGTGTGTGTGCTTGTGTGTGTCTACTCATGCGTGTGCACCTGTGTGTCCTTGTGTGTGTGTGTATGTACAGCATTCTGTGACAGGCACTAGACTATTTGGTTAATGAGCAGGTGACTGGACATGAATTATAAACCGTGACTTTGGTGAATCCCCTGCCTGCCAACACCGACAGTCACAGTTCTCTGTGACCATATCCCGCTCCAGCTGCAGAATCTTATCTGGCAATGCATCCCCAACAACCAGCAGCCCTGCAGTGACCACAGGAAGGATGCCATAAAGTACCTGCGCGTCCTCTCCTGGGTCCCCCACAGTCTCCACAAGTCTGGAGAGAAGGTCGGAAAGCGTTGTGGCTGAGAGAGGCTGCTTCAGGGCCCGGAAGATCTGGAAGGACCTCCCGGCATAGTGTCGTGAGGAGCAGGAGAGTGCCGTCTGCAGTGCAACTTCGCTGAGGTGGTGTTCCAGATGGACGCCTTCTGTGAAGACAAGGGACACCAAAGGGTCCTGCTTTAGAATCCTATCCAGGGCCACTGTCACAACTACCATTTCAAGCTGGTGGCCATGACTGGCAAAACCAGTGCTCTACTGGAATGCTTTTCCTCTGATTAAATTCCATTTCATTTCAGAAAACTCTTCATTCTAACCTCTAGGAAAAGTACTTGAGGTCAGGGTCTCCCACCTCAGCGTGACTGACATTTGGGGCCAGATGGTTCTTGGTTGGATGGGCTGTCCTGAACAGTGGATGGCGTTTGGGGTGCCTCTAGCCTCCACATGCTAGACACCAGCAGCAACCCCTCTTACCTGCTCGCAATTGTGTCATGTCTTCAGACGTTGCCAAACGTCCACAGGGGCTGATTACCCCTTGCTGAGAACAACTGCTCTAGACACACACATTTTTACTGTGATTTTCAGAATGTGTCAAATGTTAGATCACAGAAGCCTGAATTATCAGGTGTGCCATCTGCACATATGTCCCTGTAATGTAAATTTTTCACAATACACAGTTGTACTGGGATTTTATAAAGTGATCATACACAAAACTAGGAAGCCCAGGATTTCACAGATAGCATGGGTATGTTTAAAGCAGTAAGTTAATTTTTCTTCAACCAAAACAAAGGTTATCATTAGTAAATGAAAAAAGAAACCTTTTAATTTAGACATATCAACTATCAACTTTTTGCTAAGTATTATCAGAAATGTCAACATCACATTATTATTTGAAATGCTTCCTAAAAGATACCTGAGCTTGACTGCTTAAAAACAGAAACCACATGCTTCAAAAATGTCGTTAACTGTTCTGCACTCTTTATGCTGGGATTCTTGGCAGAAACGTCCTCATGGTTCCAGAGAGGCCCTCTTTTTCTGAAAACAGAGGAGACATGATTTTTAACTTATTATTAACTGTTTTACATACATCTTTATTAAAAAAGGCAGTAGTTGAATAAATCAACTATTGCTACTATTTATGAACATAAATACGTAACGATCTACAGCATGTCAACAAAGACTTCACTTCAGTGTCCACTGTCACTACAATTCCCTACCATGAAAGAAGAGATAACAAGTATTGCCAGGTCGGAAGCATACTGGTCACTGCCAACATGTTACAGGTCAAAACATAATCTGGGCTGGGCACTGTGGCTCATGCCAGTAATCCCAGCACTTTGGGAGGCAGAGGCAGGAGGATCACTTGAGCCCAGGAGTTTGAGACCAGCCTGGGCAACATAGCAAAACCTTATCTCTACCAAAAAAACAAAAAAGAAAGAAAAAAAAATTAGCTGGACATGGTGGTGCACATCTCTAGTCCCAGCTACTCGGGAATCACCTGAGCCAAGGAAGTCAAGGCTGTGGTGAGTCATGATTGTGCCACTGTACTCCAGCCTGGGCGACAGAGTAAGACCCCAACTCAAAAAATAAAACAATAACAACAAAATGTACTCTGTATTTAGATTGTAACAAAGGAGAGAAGTCGCTGTTGAAAGGCAATAGGAATAATGTACTGGCTAAATCCATGGGGAAAGCTGATGATGGAATAACGCCCCTTTGACTGTCTAATACGTCTTGGGTTCTCAGACCATGAGGATTAAGCTCTGTCCAGGCCAAGTGCCCTGAGAGCTGACGTGAGCTCACACTGCCCCATCCCTTCCCCTCACATACCTGTTCACGGCTGAGGCTGATCCTCTCCATGCATTGATCACACGATGCCTCCACCCTCCCCACTAGCCCAGGAATTCTTGATGTCATCTATAACCTTGGCCTGGCGTTAGGCCCCCAGATTGAATACCCCTAAGCCTTCTAGAAGTGTCTATCACAACTCTGTTGTCAGCGTCCATGAGCAGCTTGCTTACCACTCCACGCACCCCGGACTCTAGCCTGGCTGTGGAATGCCATACCCATTCGCTCCACTGCCCTCTCCATGTTTGCTGACTGCCTAATAATGCAGCCAGTGAAAGAGGGGGATATACCCACACAGCACTGTGTCGTCTCTGGGCACCTGGCAGCCAGCTCAGGCATAACTGCGTGCGTGCAAAAGGCTGTCTTCAGCCACATCCCAATTGCTAAAATATTGCACATTACAGACCTGTGTGCCTCAGATCAGTGGTGCATCAGAAAACAGAAGCACAGACTGGCTGGAAACGCTGTTGGGACTGGAGGCTGTGTTACCTCGAGGTGATGAACTCCAGGAGGGCTTTGACTTGGCTGTCCTGCTCCACCACCAGGCCTGCCCCACCGAGCAGGGTGGGGTGCAGGTGGCCTGCAGTGGCGCTGCCATGCCCTAGGCTGATGCTGGACGAGGTAGAGCTGGAGCTGAGCCCTGAGTCGGTCATGGGGGAGGGCTGGTAGTCGGGGACAAACTCGTGAATACCTGCTGGAGAGAAAGTGCTATGAGCAGGACAGGCACGACTGCACGAGATGCTTTGAGAGAGGACATCTGAGCTAGTGACAGGCGCCGCGCTCCTGCCAATCCTCATAGTACCAAGTCACTGCAGTCATAGCCTGGCCCTCTGGGGCCAGTACTTATGGCACAGGCATTATAAAACCCAGCAGCTAGTTTCCCTGTGCGGCTCTGCTGCCATCTGCTGGAAAGAGCGGAAAGCGGCCGCTCCCTGATACTTTGGCGTGCTTTGTCAACATTTATTCAGTCACACTTCCACAATGTAAACTGATTTTTAATTTTTTATGCGATAAATTCTATAACTTTTGTTTCTTTTCAGTTACAGAAAGACTCTTTAAAGTCTATTCATAATGCTTCTACTAAGTCAATAATTAAACACATGACTTTAAAGGCTATTACCAATGACTGTATTTACAAAATGGCAAAAGGAGCCTTAAAAACAAACAAGCCATGGAATTTTGAAAAAAAGATGCTTTCACATAAAAAAAAGCAATAAGCTTTATTCCATTTTTCTTTTAACTATAGTTTTAAGAGGCTAGTTTCCTAACAATTGTTTTCTTTTAAGTCGGAGTCTCATTCTGTCACACAGACTGGAGTACAGTGGCATGCTCACGGCCACTGCAACCTCATTCTACTGGGCTCAGGCAATCCTTCTGCTTCAGCCTTCCAAGTAGTTGGAACTATAGGCATGCGTTACCACGCCCAGCTAGTTTTTTGATTAAAGAGACGAGGTCTCACCAAGTTGCCCAGGTTGGTCTCGAACCTGTGGGCTCAGGCAATCCTCTCGCCTCTGCCACCCAAAGTGCTGGGATTACAGAAGTGAGCCACCATGCCTGTCAACAATTGTTTTCTTACCACTACAGGGTTTTATCTAACTTTAAGATTCATGAACCCTGTATCTGACATTGCGATTATTAGAAAAAGGTAATTTTATTTCAGTTCTTTTTTTTTTTTTTTTTTTTTGAGTTGGAGTGTCACTCAGTGCAGTGGCACGCTCCCGGCCACCGCAGCCTTGACCTGCTGGGCTCTGGCGATCCTTCTGCCTTCCAAGTAGCTGGAACTACAGGTGTGTGCTACCACGCCCAGCTAATTTTTTTTAATTTATTGTAGAGATGAGGTCTCACCAAGTTGCCCAGGCAGGTCTCGAACTCGCGGGCTCAGGCAATCCACTCACCTCAGCCTCCCAAAGCATGGGATTACAGGCTGAGCCACCAAGCCCGGCTCAATTCTTAAAAAACCAAAAAACAAAACTGTGTACATCATCTGCTGTTAGCCTGATGGAATAATTAAATTAGGACTTTTAGGAAAGAAAATATAAAACTTAAAAAGAAAAAAAAATAACATTGACAGTGAAACAAATTTTATATTAAAGTCTCATTAATCTGAACCTCACCATTTAAAAATGCATAATGCAAGTGAGTAGCAAAATGCAAAATGTCTTACTTTGTCAGTTCTCAGATCTTGCAAGTGGGAGATGCTAACCCACGCTCAAATTTTTTTTCCTAATTAGCGTTCAAGACATTAAGCACTGTCCTTATGTCTTCAACTTACACATCCAGAACTTAAAACCTGTGTGACAAACACCCTTCAAGGTCACACAGACACACACACTCCTTTCACTAATTAATACATAATAGCCACAGCACTTTGACAGCTACATTTTGGAAATGTTCTCTCGCCTTTCAGCTTCTATTTAGTTGACTTTCTCTAGTGCAGGATTTCCAGTGAAGGAGGTATGAGTCCACTTTCCAATCACACTTGCAAGGCAAGTACCTGTGAGGGTGTAATCAAAGTGTGCAGTTGGTTTGACAGTGAGCACCCTGGGCTCGTTGAACTCCTTGTTCCTGAGAAGGACAGAGGCGACGGTGCGAATGTTACTGCTGGGTCCCATGACGATTAGTAAGTGCAGAAGCAAGCGCCTGCAGTGTTCGTACACCTCAGGGTGGCAGTGGTCAAACCCTGAAGAGGAAAAACACCAGTCAAGATACGAGAATGAGGACTCTTAGCGTCGACTCACGCTTCAATGAAAATCAGAAATGACATAGAAGAGTTCGTGGAAGGAGATGTTTCCCATAGGTTTTTACTGGCATTGTGTTTTTACTCACTTTCACGATATTGTCCTATAGCACTAGGGAGAATTGAGGTAAGTTTGAAATGTGTTTCCTATTTAAAATTTAGTCTCAGAAGCTTTTACTGTCACTTAACACTAGATGGAAATGAATTTTTTTTAAAGGCAGGTTCTTTGTGCTTAGCACATAACAGAACAACAGGAAATGCTTGACTCACTGAAGGAGTAAAGTAACACACACATACTTAGTGTGCATTATCAGGGGAACTCAAAGGAAGCTGGCTGTCTTGCCTTGCTTCAGGAAGCAAGCAGTTGCAGTGCAGGCGAGACAGAGCCCGTGTATGTGTACAGAGGGCACATGGAGTCTCCAGTTTCATCACCAACCATCCAACAATTTGGGAAACACTAGAACCCATCTCCACTTTCCATTACCCTGAGAGTTTCCAATCCCAGGGGTAAATTAATTTTTCTCTGGCTACATCAGCAGAACCTCTCCTGGTGAAGTGAAGATGGTGTGTGTGGGGGGGGTCGGGTGGAGGGAAGCAGGAGGGGACTAGGACAGGGTCACATATATGTCTGTAGTCAGGAGACAGGTTAGGATAATTCCCCATAGACCAAGGGCCAGCGTGGAAAGAGACACAGAAATAACATACAGATAGCAGGAGGCAGAAACCTGAAAGAGCTTTCGTAACCCATACCGCCTTTAGGTTACCATAAAAACAGACAGTAAAGAAACGAGGACCAGGTGTGTATTACCTATAAAAACTGCATGGAGAAGAAGAGGGAGGTAGCTTCCCCAGTCCACCTTCACGCTGTGATCAATGATCAGGTCGGTCAGAAGGATCACAGCAATGTTACACCTAGGATGAGGGAGGCATCACCACTGTTTACCACATTCGAGAGGACCCCAGGGCACTCTGAACAAAATCACTGGAAGACTTTCATACTGCATTTCACGGAAAAATACAACATATCCGGGAAAAACAAATACATCTGAAGAAATGTCAGCCATTAATTTAAAGTGACAGAACAACACACAAGGGCCAAGTCAAGAGTCATGTTCTCGTCACCTTGCAAGCCTGAGACCTGCCACACTGCAAACCACAGTAGGTGCTCGACATGTATGTGGTGCATTAACACATTCAGAAAGAATGCAGTAATTTTTCTAGTGTGGTTTTGCCAAGTGAGAATTTAGTTCAACTCAATTTACAATACTGCCTACTACGAGAAAGCCATGTTTTTCAGATGTTGTAACTGGGTCCCAGAAAGGTCAAGTAACTATGCCAGACATCCAGAAAAGCAGTAGCAGAATCATACTTAATAATATACAGCTTATACAGTCAGAATTCCGAGTTTTTAGACTGCTTAAAATCTAAACACATGGATCTGCTGCATGGCAGCATCTCAAGAGAGAAAGGTTGCCAGAGGGTACAAAGCAGCCTAAAGGGCTCAACGGCAACTCGGCCGTGTGAAGTAGCAACAACGCTGGCTCCACCTGTGAAGAGGCAATCCAGGTGATGACGTTTCAGGCACGTAATCCACCAGCGGCGACCAGCAGCCTCCAGCTGGCGGGAAGGGCAGTGGCTCTCCTTGGTTCTGCTCCATCACCTTCAGCCGCCAATTAGAATAAAGTGGCATTGAGTCACCTATCAAGATAAAACGGTCTCGTTTTCGCCACTATCTGAGTTCTGCTGATAGCAGCAAACTCTAGCAAGACACCAACTAGTCACAACATTGGAAAGTGATCAAGATAATTTCCCATTATCTCAACACATTTGATAGGAAGACCTGAGTACAAGTATTATCAAATTAAGCACATCAGAGAAGGGGGGTGGAGACAGAGGGAGAAAGAGAGGGAGGGAGGGAGGGAGGGAGAGAAAGAGAGAATAGAAGGAAGACAGCAGGGAGGGAAAAAAGACAGAGAGAGGGAGGGAAAAAAGAGGGAGAGAGAGAAAGAGAGGGAGGGAGGTAGGGAAAGAGAGAGAAAGATAGAGACAGAAGGAGGAAGGGAGGGAAAGAGAGAGAGGGAGAGGGAGAGAGGGAGGGAAAAAGGAAGGAGGGAGAGAAAGAAAGAGAAAAAGAGGGAGAGGGAGAGGGAGAGGGAGAGGGAGAGGGAGAGAGAGAGAGAGAGAGATCAATCGATCTAGGCTCCATTCTTTATATCAAGTTAAATTATGTCACTTGCACTTCCTGTGACTCCATAACTGATGGCCAAGACAGGAGCCCACATTATTACAGGGGAAGTTGACTCATAACAAGAGCCTGGGAAGCCCCTCATTTCTGAATTTCCTGAGATTGGGCCAAAACAAATCCTTTCTGAAAGGAGCTTTGCTCTCCCACAGTGGTAGCTTCCCCAGCTACACCCGGCTAATTTTTTACATTTCCTCCTGCAGGGGGCAGGAGGAAAGGATGTCAGGACACTGACTTCTGTGTGCCGTGGGTAAGTCACTTAACCTCTCTGGACCTCAGTACCATCATGTGCAAAATGAGGAGACAGGACCAGATCGTCCTCAAGGTCCCTTCCAGGTCTGAAGCTCATGCCTCTGTGATGCCTACCTTCACACTATAGTGAACTCGGGCAGGCAGATCCTTTTGCAATTCGAGGGAGAAGCTTTCTAGTAAAATGTGACTCTGTACAGAAAGTGCAAGCCAGCTCAAAACACCAGTCTATTTCCAGTGTCCGTTGTGTGATGCTTCCCGAGAGCCAGTTCTTTTTTTGAGTTGGAGTCTCACTCTTTTGCCCAGACTGGAGTGCAGTGGCCACTCCTGGCCACTGTAGCCTCGATCGGCTGGGCTCCTGCGATCCTTTCGCCTCAGCCTTCCATAGCTAGAACTACAGGCGCACGCTACCACACCCGGCTAATTTTTTATATATTGTAGAGATGAGATCTCACCAAATTGCCCAAACGGGCCTCGAACCGCCGGCTCAGGCAATCCACTCACCTCAGCCTCCCAAGGCGCGGGATTACAGGCTGAGCCACCAAGCTGAGAGCCAATTCTTATGTTCCTTGGGATTTCTCTGTTGGGAACCCGTGCTTTCAAAAAAAAGTCCCCATTTACGTTGCTTAAAATCCAGACATCTAGGATTATGTTGGAACACCACTAGTGGCAGGTAGAAACTCTTTGTGAAAAAAATGTGCTGAAAATGTATATTTCTTGGCATTTAGCATAATTAACCATATACCTCACCCTCAGAGCGACATAAAAAGCATCTGGAATGTATTACTTTTTTCTTCCTCGTAAGATCCCCCGGAGCTGCTGCTATACCGAGACTCAAGCCTGTGGTGCTGGCGGTTCAAATGGCTGTTCAGTCCACTGTAGACGTCCAGGTGCACACAGCTGTGGGAGTGACCACTGGAGTTAGTCACAGTTCATGGTGAACTGAAATCTGAACTTTATGTCTCTCATCTTCCGTGTTTAAAAAAGAATGCAGCACACACAACACTCATAGCTAGGATATGTATTTACTAGGATATGTATTCATTTCCACTTTGTAATTCAAAAGCTTAAACTTTTAGTCAATTATTTCTACCTAAAATATGTGTGACAATGATGTTCTGGTACGTAAAACAGAGAGTAAATGTTTTATAGAGATATGTCTTAGATATGTTGCAAAATTTAAGCAACACAGAAAGTGGCTTCTCCTGCTCCACGTTCCCTGTCAGAGTGTGTGACACGCCTGGCAATGTAATGAAGTGTATTTGCTGATACAGAAATACATTTCTCCATTAGAACACAAGCAAGTCCACATTCCAATGCAGAAATTATTATTTGGATGACACTTAGCTCCTGCCAACCTGAAAGGCTTGTGAGGAAGAGACAAGCACTTACCTCTCTTCCATATTCTCTTTCAAGGGCTTATTGTCAGAATTGCTATCGGTGGGAGCTACCATCGTATTGCTACTGGAAGTAGTTCCTGCAACCAAAGACAAGGCAGTGCCTGTGAGTTTCCGACCCCACTGTAACTCACAGGAACTCAAGGCTACAAACTGTAGACATCAACGCTCCATGAACATGAGAACCAAGTGGTTTTTGGAAAAGGAATGTACTCCTGATGACCAAGAGGAGGAGGGGACAACAGCAACACACTGTTGGATGCTAGAAAACAAGTGGACAGGATGGAACTCAGTGTTGAGAAGGCCGAGCCAACAGCGGGTGGTGGGGGAGGCCAAGCTCTTCCACGTGGATACTGCTGAGCCTCCAGAAGGCTTGGGAAGGAGTGCACAGAGAACCTCAGAACAGGGGTTGAAGGTGGTGCTAAAAACAGGAAAACTGGTTGGAAATCTATTTTAGAAGCTGCCCCTCATAATTGACTTCCTGTCTCTTGGGGCTGGGTGACTGTCTCTCCCCATGTCCACAAGTCTTTTCTGATGAGAGGAAATCAGAAGACTTCAGGACAAGAGCACAATATATACAGCTCATATATCCTAAAAGAGGATGCACTTTACCAAGAATGAGGGGATTAAGGAAAAACACACATGGTAACATTGAGACTGCAGCTCTGCATCCTTCTTACCCCACAAGGCTTAAAGCCTCTGTGTGGTTTGTGTGTGTGTGTGTGTGTGTGTATGTGTGTGTGTGTGTGTGCACGTGCATGTGCACACGTGTGTGCATGTGCATAAACACATATAATCCATAGACTGTAAGCACACACACACCCTCTACTGTAGGCAAATGACTAGCTGAGTTTTCTCTGGGGTGGCTGATTAAGCCAAGAGAAAAAACCTCTAGACACTGACATCACTGAAATCATTACACAACACATGACACTGTCAACAAGTTCCACATGTACTTACAGAACTTACATTCTTATGACTCCACACTTTATGAAAAGATGGATCTAAAATTAGTAGGCTTTTGAGGAATGCTTTTTACTAAGACAAACCAAAACAAACAGCCATACAGAGATATCGGAAACTTCTGTTGAAAGAAGAAAACTATAACTTTATCAGATACAAAAAAAGATAATCCAACATAAACATAAATAGGTCACTACTAAATAAAATCATTTAAAAAAATTCTTTGGAATCAAAACATTCTATATGTATAGTAGAACACAAAAGTTAAGAGATAAAAATAGATGACAAAAAATAAGTTATATAATATTGGGAGGCTGAGGTGGTAGGTCTATGGTGTGATGAGACATGACCATGTGACTGACTCCAACCTGGGTGACACAGGGAGACCCCAACTCAAAAAACATATATACAGATATATATAAAATTGTTCTATTATAGAAAATGTTACTAACATGCTAAAAACATTTAATATAAACAGACTGATGAAGTTTCACAGAAATTTCAGCTATAACAGTCTGTTTATTATATGGAATGTCACTGGAATAAACTTTATTAGAGAAATAGTTCTTCGTTCAAAATATTACAATAATTATAACTGTAATGTACAGCTTACATATAAGTATATATACTCACTTGATTGTATATACCAAAATAATTATAATGTGGAATTACACAAAATTGTTCAACAAGTAGGAATTCTGGTTGGGCTCAGTGGCTCAGTCTATAATCCCAGCACTTTGGGAGGCTGAGGCGAGTGGACTGCTTGAGTCTGCGGGTCCAAGACCAGCCTGGGCAAATTGGCAAGACCATGTCTCTAGAATACATAAAAAATTAGCCAGGCATGGTAGCATGTGCCTGTAATTCTGGCTACTTGGAAGGCTGAAGCAGAAGGATTGCCGGAGCCTAGCAGGTCGATGCTGGGGTGGCCGTGAGCATGCCACTGCACTCCAGCCTGGGCGACAAGAGTGAGACTACGACTCAAAAAGGAAAAAAAAAAAAGAATTTTATAAATTTAACATGTAATCATATTATCACATTCACTAAAAACTGTATTTGTTGTCTAAGGATATATACTTTTAATTTAATTTATTTTTTTTTTTTTAGTCAGCCTCTTACTCTGTCTCACAGGCTAGAGTGTACTGGCATAATCATGACGATCACAGCTCACGGCAGCTTCAACCTCCTGGACTCCAGCAATCCATCTACCTCAGCCTCCCAAGTAGCTGGAACTACAGGCATGTACCACCATGCCTGGCTAGTTTTTTTAAAAAAATGTTTTATAGAGATAAAGTCTCACTTTTTTGCCCAGGCTGCTCTCAAACTCCTGGTTTACAAGGTCTCGTCAGTTAATTAACTAACATATGTGACTCTCACTGGCTTTTGTTGTCTCAGTAATGACATTTAAAGACACAACAAACACTTGCTTAAATGAACAGTTATAGAAAGCTCCTCTTTTGATACAAAGTAAATGGTTTACAAAAAACAAGTTCTACTGTGTATAAATGAGGTTGACAACACAACGGTATGGGACAGACAAAGACAGTCAAGTAGTTGCCACAGCGGAGCAGTTGAAAAAAACAAATCTGTCATCTCACACAGTTACAAAGTACTTAGTTGTAAACGATTTCTCACCTGAGGTGACAGAAGGGACTTTGTAGCTGGAAGTGACGCGGTAGTAGGGAGGGTTGTCCATGTGAGTGACCCCTGAACTGACTGGGTCAGTCAGCTGGAGTTCACCCACCAGCTCTTCCAGCAACTGCATTGTTTTGTCTCTACCTAAATACACAATGACTTTCTTCACCTATCACAAGAAATGGAAAAAGCAACATTTTTATCTCATAAATTTGTCTTGAGTCATATTTTACCAGAGTATAACAAGCATAAGCTCAATTTGAACAAGCATTGATCAGCATTGAGACACTGGTCATGGGCACTGATCAACAGTGACACTAATCACGGGCATTGATCAGCAGTAAGACACTGGTCATGGGCAATGACTAGCAAGATACTGGTCATGGATGCTGATCAGCATTGAGACACTGATACAGACATTGATCAGTAATGAGACACTGGTCATAGGCATTGATCAGCAATGAGACATTGATCATGGGCATTGATCAGCATGTGATACTGGTCATGGGCACTGAATAGCAATAAGACACTGATACAGGTATTGATCAGCAGTGAGACACAACCCTCTCTCTCCCTCAACACCAGATTTCATCAGGGTGAACTGAACACACTTAGTGATTTCTACAACTTGATGCACTTGCTTCACTTTTCTGCCTTTTTAAAAAAAAGCACACACACACAAAAATTCGCTGCAGTAGTCCTGGGAAGAGCTGACACTGAGGACCCAAGGGCAGAAAGGGGGTGGCGTGGTCGTCATGAGGGCCAGAGCCAGGGAACAGGAGGGTTGGGAGGGAGGCCTGCTGGGTGAGTAGGGCAGGGATGAGAGCAGAGCCAGGGAGTGGCATGCTAGAGGGTGGAAGCACCAGGGAGAACACGGGGAGATGTGGCCAGGGAGGCTACATGGGGTCCAGCTGTCCTATGCCACATGACTGCTGTTCTCCAAGTGCTTCTCAAAAATGCCAATCCTGTGACATCCCTTGGTGTGTTGGAAGCAGAACCTGTGAGAATTGACAGAGAAAAGTTCTGGAGATTTCATCTTACGTGGTGTACTCTTCTGGGGATGCTCTCATGTGAGCACCCACACCTGTGTCTACACACCTACACACAGATGTGCATGCACGTGCATCTGTGTACTTTATGTCATCCTCACGCTGGACAGTCCCACAGTGTCCTCTTAGTCTGGGTGGGTGCAAGTAAAAAGATGCTCCTTTCTCCCCCCACACTCTCCCTTGTTTCCTGCAGCTAAGCACAACCCCACAGGCTCTCAGCTGTTACACATCTGGCTCTACTGTCCCCACACCAGCTCCTGGCTAGCAGAAACTAGAAACAGCTCTGGTTCTGTGGTCTCGGCCTCAACATCACTTTCTCTCGAGTCATCATAATCCCTCAAGACATGGTGGCTCCCAGGAAGTCTTGGTTCTCTGGAACTTCCCCTCAGAGCCCCCATCGCAAATGGACTACATCAATGCACTGACACAGTCATTAAACAATGAGGTGTGGGTTTGAAGTCAGTTCTGTGTCACCCATTGGACTGTTGGCCCAACACCAGGGGAGCACCTGCCTTGAGAGGTGGTAGGAACCCTTGCTGGAAGAGGCAACAAACACATCCAGGTCCTGGGTCCCAAATGCATCAGTGGGTTCCACCTCAGCCCCATGGGTGACTGCCACCCACACTCTGACATCATGAGACATGGGAAACATACACAGTCGGTTCTTAAGGTTAAATGAACCTGGATACATACGTAAGGCAAGAGGCTTGGTTCACTATTCACCCCACAGATGCTGATCAGAAAGTGCAGGATTATCTTGAGGTTTTTGGGCCAGCCATCTGCGAGTGTGGTCCACACGTTCTCTACTTCCGACCAGGCCAGCTCGTCCCCGTACTAGAGGTGGCACACACAAGAGACACTTCAGGCACGACCAGCCAGGAAAACCAGATTGTCATACCCCAAGTATCAGAAAATAATGTTTTCACAGATAGTTTTGGTCTTTTCCATGCTTTAGAGGAAAAATAATTTCTCTCAATAAATCTAACCATAAATACCATTAATCACATATGGTTACAGTAAAAAAAAAAAATGTATCTAATGAGAAGTTTTTTAAATTTTTTATTTTCATTTTTGAGTTGAGGTCTCACTCTGTCACCCATGTTGGAGTGCAGTGGCACAATCTCAGCTCACTGCAGCCTCGACCTCTCAGGCTCAGGTGATCCTCTGGCCTCAGCCTCCCAAGTAGCTGGGACTAAAGATATATGCCACTACACTTGGCTGTGTAGTTTTTTTTTTTTAAAGAAAGGAATATGTAATGCATTTTTGATGGTTTATAACAGGATTATGAAATCTCTCCATCTGTTTCTAACTACCTTTCCTCCTCCTAATTCAGTAATTCTGTGCAGTGACTGCAAACACAAAACCCGTTTTTACCTTTGCAGTCATGTACATTAGATTGTTCAAGACCATTGCAGTGGCCTGTGGGGACCCCCAGCCTTCTCCACGCAGCCAGCGCCTGCTTGTCACCATGAGCTCCCGGTCTCTGAGCACGTCGTCCTCATCCTCGTCCAGCCGCCTGGCAGGGGGCAGAGGCTTCAAGTCCACCAGCTCAATGTTGTTCATCCAGGGGAGCAAGTAGTGTAGCATGACCTGGCGCCCCGCCGGGTGGGCTGTCTGGATCCTCTGGCTTATCTCTGCCACGAGAAACAAGCCCAGGAGAGAGAGGGTGAGTTTCCTTTGAGCTGTGATTAATTTCAATATTTCCTTCTTAAAGAACAGGAAATGTATTCCTTACATTTAACAAAGATGAGTACTACTTTTCCTTTTCATAAATTTCACCTCAATGACATCATAAAGAAAAGGCCAGGCACACTGGCTCATGCCTATAATCCCAGCACTTTGGGGGGCTGAGGTGAGAGAATCACTTGAGCTTAGGAGCTCAAGACTGGCCTAGGCAACATAGCAAGATCTCGTCTCTATGTGTGGTGATGTGCAGTTGTAGTACCAGCTACTCAGAAGGCTGACACAGGAGGAATGTCTGAGCCCAGCAGGTGGAGGCTGCTGTGAGCTATGATAGTGCCATTGCACTCCAGCCTGAGCAACAGTGAGTCTCCACCTCAAAAAAACCAAACCAAAAAAGAAAAGAAAAGAAAGAAAATTAGTAAAACACACAGTTTTTATATACAATACTTTTGGCAGTTAAATGTTTGTGCACTGTTGGTGGCATTTGCAAAATGGTGTACACTCTATGGAAAATAGTACGGTGGTTCCTCAAAACATCTAAAGCAGAACTATACCATATAATCCAGCAACCCCACTCCTGAGTGTACATTCGAAGGAATTGAAAGCAGAGACACGAACAGAAATTTGTATCCCCATGTTCATAACGGCACTACTTATACCAGCCAAAGATAGGTGGTGTCAACTCACAAATCTACTGGAAGATGCATGAATAAACAAAATGTGTTATTGAGAAGAGATAGCCAGAAAAAAGCAAGGCAGACAGGCAGGGTGGGTCCCTGCCGGCCTCTCAGGCTGATACACTTCGTTGGTAAACAAGTTTCCTACAAGCCTCTCAAGCTAGAGCTTTAAGTACTCACTGCTGGGATAGAAAAACAACCAATCAGCTCACTGATTGACTGATCGACTGCTAACCAATCAGCTCGCCATTAGGCCCCTACCTCCTGCTGATTGGTTCTTAGTACTCACCAATCAGCACAGCTAGTGCCAACCAATTGGCTCAGTCTTAGGGCTATATAAGCACCAGGTTTCAGCTCCAAATCAGCTACCCCCTCAGGTTCCCTCCCACTGTGGGAGCTTTTCTGTCCTCTCAATAAATCCTGTTTTCTCAACTTTCTGGCCGTCCATGTACTTCATTCCTTCTGGGCACAAGACAAGACCCTGACCTGCAGAAGATAGTTGGAGTTGAAGAGCTATGCACCCCAGAGGCTGGCTTGCCAGTCAGCCAATGAAGCCAACTGAACTGGGAAAGCTACAGGCAGAAGGTGAGACTCCAAAGTTGCGATGCTTCTGGGGGCTGGCTTGCTTGCCCATTAGAGCCAACACTCCTGGGGCTAGGCTTGCCAGCCCATTGAGCTGACCCTCTCTGGGGCTCAGGTGGCTGACCTATTGAGATGACACTCTTGAAGCCCAGGCTGACCTGAAAAATTTGTATCAGTATATACACACAAAAAAGAGGATAGAGATCCTGTCATGCTCCAACATGGATGAACTGTGAAGACACCATGCTAAATGAAATAAGCCAGGCACAAGCAAAAGTACCGTATGGGGTATCTCAAGCAGTCACATCATAGAAATAGGAAGAAGAATTGTGACTACCAGGATGGGGAATGGAGTGTTACTTAGGGGTGTAGAGTTTCTGTCCTGCGAGATGGAAAGGTTCTCATCATCTACTTCACAACAATGTGGATACATTTAGCAGTTCTGAACTGTACACCTAAAAATGATCAAGACAGCAAATTCCGTATGTAATTTTTATCATCATAAGCAAACAAATACATGTAGAATGATAAAAGACCACCTTTATACACAGGTCTGCTTAAATCGGCTATTTGAGAGCCTCGCATATTTTGGCTCTACATGGTGACGCATTCGCTATCTTCACAGTCACCTCCTTCTCTGCTCACCACACACCTGTGACATGGGCAGGGACAGAGGCACCTGCCAGAGATCAGACACACACTAAGTGCCAGTGGGATTCCAACACAAGGCTGCATCCCAAACCCACGAGCCTCGTAGACTGTGTACTTTCTACGAATCACTACAAGTAAACACCTTCCTCCTGTCCTCCGTCCACCACAGGGCCCTGTGCTTATCTGCTCAGGAGAAGGAGCTGACAAGAAGGAGCTGTCTGCCACACACGAGTGCCGACTCAGGGCCCACAGGCCACCCTCCAACCCTTGATGACTTATTCTGTAAATAGGGTAATGGGACCCATGGCCTCATGAAGCTAGAACGCCAATGCCATGCTCGGTCCTGGCTAAGGTTATGCTCAATCCTGACCATTCACAAAGATCTCTTCTATTAATGCATCCATTTTTTTATCCCCAATATGAAATCTAACGCCTGGAGCTCCTACCCAGGAAGGAAGAGCCTGGGTGTGTGGGCGTGAGGCCCTAGCAGGGACATGACCTCCTGGGAAGATGACCTGTGGAAGGAAGGGGCACAGGATGAAGTCCTACAGGCACCAGTACATATAAGACGGTCAGAAGGCAAGAATCCACCAAAAGGGACAGGGAAAAAAGTCCACGGCAGAAGGAAAATCAGAAAATACGGAATTTCTGGAAATCAAGATAGGCCACAATTGGAGGACCAATGACGAGGCTAGTATCAGTGCTGGGGAGAGTTGTGAGTGGACTGAAGGCCATCAGGATGGCAGTGAGAAGGCATCAGATACATCTGCAGGATAGAGCAGATCTGAGTGGAGTACAGATGCTGTCCTGGGAGACCCAAGGCAGTACTAGTGCTGAGAGTACAGGACAGTCAGTGGGGAGGGTTGAGGACTGGTGAGAAAGAGGAAAGGGACCTGGCAGGCAGTTGGCAACATTGAAAGTCCACTGCATCATGGCTGGACAGAGGAAGGAGCAGGCCTCACACCCGAAAGGGCCACGTCTGTGCTGAGACCTGCCCATGCACAGCACTGCATTCGTCTTTCTTGGGAATAGTGAAGGTGAAGACTTGGCTAGCTATAAGACTCATCAGGTTTAGAGCCTTTCTTTCACTTTAGAAGAAACTATCTTAAGCAGGGGAATTAAATGAGCAGCTGGGAAGAATCAAGAGTGTCTTGAGGACAGAATGGGAGGGAAAATGACTCAGACACAAAGCTGTGGGCACGTCCACACCTGCTTATGTCCTGCCCCAACATGGTATCCAAGAGCAGTGGGGCTCTCTGCTTGCCACACAGAAGCTCCTCGCAGGAGCTCAGCAGCAGGGTCAGTGCTCACACAGCCAACATTTGGGGCCGTGGACCCTCCACACCCATCCAGGAGGGACTAGCAGGGCGGTGGAGAAGGGCATGAGAACTGCTCCCTATAAGGCGTACCAATAGCTTGTAAGAACTGAACTGAGGGGGATTTTCCCACTCAGATGGATTATGGATAGGAAACAAATGATCTCTGCTGCTAAAGTAGTTGCTATGGGAAGATCTGACAGGCCAGGACCACCATTTCGAGCCCAGACAAGAGAAAGGACCCACTGCAGAACTCTTGAATCCCTTGAGCAATAGTTCTATTCATGTTCAGTACTCAGATTGGAGCAAGAGCTTGCTGCAGGTGACAGGTAGAAAAACAGCCTGAGTTCTTTTGTACTATAACTCAAGCTTTTCAACTTCAATAGTACCTTCCTGGACAGGTGGTGGAGTAGACAGACCCTAGAAATTCTCCTGCATCAGAAGTCCTAAAAGACCCAGATAGATATAGCCTCTTCTTCTTCTTCTTCTTCTTTTTTTTTTTGAGTCACAGTCTCACTCTATTGCTCAGGTTGGAGTATAGTGGCACACTCAGGATCACAGCTTACCACAGCCTCAACTTCCTGGGCTCAAGTGATCTTTCTGCTTTGGTCTCCTGAGTAGCTGAGACAACAGGTGTGCACAACCATGCCTGGCTTATTTTTTAATTTTTGTAGAGATGAGGTTTCGCTATGTTGTCCAGACTGATCTCAAACTCCTGGGCTCAAGCAGTCCTCCCGCCTCAGCCTCCCAAAGTACAGGGATTACAGGTATGAGTCACTGAATTCAGTCAAGAACTATATTAGAATCACACATGAATCCCTCCTTTTTTATTTCCTGGAGAGCGGTAAGAAGGGAAGGTTCAAGTGTAAAATAGATCAATATGTAGAGTTCTTATCAAGGAAAGAAAATTCTCTTATGTAACGCTATGTTTTGTTTTGATTTAACCTCAAACTTAATATATTTAAAGTTTTCTAAAATACATAGTGCTTTAGAAATGGCTGGCCAAGAGGAACTCCTACATAACTCACTGACCATACCTGAAAATATGGCAAGGGTGAGCTCGGGGTACGCCCTTGCCAGCTCCTCAGACAATTGGTAGTAGGACACAGAGTACAGGTGCGAGAGTGGGGACAGCTGGCTCAGCACCCCATCCGTCCTCTGGACCTCCAACTTGTGCGCGTAACGAAACATCTTCGGTTCCAGAATCTACAGGAGTGCAAAGTCATCAAGTAGGGTGCAGATTTCACGGGTCTCCTAAAGCTTAGCTCTTATTATAAAAAAAAAAAAAAAAAACACAAAACAAAACTTATCCCAATAAATACTCCAGTTTAAAAATTATATGGTTACGTATATAATAAACTATTTCAGATGTCCATTTCTAATTCCAGGAAATGTTTGCAAATGACTCCATAACTATTTAAAATAACTTATCTTTCTTGTGTTTAATGCCAATGATTCAAGTAGGTACATAGTCTGAAAATAACTTCAGCAATATACAATTACTTGAAAAAGATGTACCACTTTTCCAGCTCAAAAATGACTGTACAGAATACATACAAGTGAAAAACACCTTCAAACAAATCTTGATTATTCAAAGGTTATGGGAGATAAGCTAAAAATCCTGTTAACATTTCACTAGGTAAAGAGCTGTACTGTGGAACCTTTCTCGGCATTATTAGGGTGGAATCCTAAGACAGGCCTGTCAGCACATCAGAGCCTTTGGAAAAATCATCGTTGCCTTGAATCCAATTCTCAGCCCTTGGTAAAGACTGAAGAACCTCACCCTATTATCAGCAGTTAAATATTACATAATCCTCACATAGTCATGTTTAACTTTGTAAGCTATTTCTCCTCCATCTAATAACAATATCTTACACGAGGATATCACAAAAGAGCTCCTTTCTTTTCAAATGGCTCCCAGAAAATTCTAACTCACATTATTCTCATCTACTGAACAAAAACACAGCACACACAGGCTGTAATAACTCAATATTAAAAGTACCTTCACACATACACTCACAAATACACGATACTTCTATAGTACAGTGCTGAACAGTTTATATGATTTATAGATTAAAATATCCCTATTATTTTTGTCATCTATTTCTAATGATAATCAGAACTTGATACCATAACTTCACTAGTAAAAATAAAGCTAAAGGCAACCCTCTCGGTCCCCTCCCACTGTGGGAGCTTTTCTGTCCTCTCAATAAATCCTGCTTTAAAAAAAAAATAAAGCTAAATATGAATATTAGTATGCTTTAATGGCAGAATAAATGACTGGGTTCATTAACTTCTGAATAAGAAGCATCTTAATTAACATCTGTTCACAAACCTGTAAAAGCTGCATAGCAACTTCATAGATACTTCTAGAAGAATCAGCTGCTTTGAACAGTATCAGATTTAGAAGCATCACTGTGTCACACTGATAATCCCTAGGAATAAATTTTACATGTTAGATGAGCAGCAATGTGCAGAGGCTCCACACCAGTTAATGAGTGTGATGTCATGGGCGAGGTTGTGGGCATGGATCATCTAAGCCTAGGAGGTGACTCTTTTTTTTTAAGGCAACAGATACAACAGTGGTGCATGGTGATCATGATCCTTATTTTGGTCATATTTCATTAGAGCTTAAGGAAAGAAACTACTGTCCACTCTACTATCCAAGGGCTCTACATCCATGGATTTAACCAACTGCAGATCAAAAATATTTGGGGAAAAAAAATTGCATCTATACCAAATGTTTGGGTTTTTTCCTTGCCATCACTGCCTAAACTATGCAGTATGACAACTATTTACGCAGCGTTTACATTGGATTAGGTATTGTATGTGACCTAGAGACGATTTAAAGCACATGGGAGGATAGGCGTAAGTTATATGCAGACACTGCACCATTTTCCACAAGGGAATTGCATTTGTGGTCCTGGCACTTGAGGGAATCTTGCAACCTATCCACTGTAGATACTATAGTAGTTTCATAGAATTTCTGAATTGAAAAGAAAAACTTTTTTTTTTTGAGTTGAGGTCTTACTCTGTTGCTTTAGGCTGGAGTGCAGTGGCATGATCACGGCTCACTGCAGCCTCAACCTTCTGGGCGTTAAGTAATCCTCCCACCTCAGTCTCCTGAGTAGCTGGGACTATAGGCATGTACCACCACACTCGGTTTATTTTTTTATTTATTGTAGAGATGAGGTCTCACTATATTGCCCAGACTGGTCTTGAACTCCGGGCTCAAGTGATCCTCCCACCTCGGCCTCCCAGACTGGGATTACAGGTGTGAACCTCCATGACTGGGCAGAAAACTATTCTTAAAAAAAAAAAAGCCTGCGTAAACTCTGGAGGGTGCGTTGGTACCTGTTCTGGAACACGTTGGCGATGGCTTGGAAGCAGCCGGCCGCCACCCGCTTGGAGCCTGTGTAGCAGCGATCCACAGCCCAGTACATCAGGTTGCTCTGGTCCGGGTTCAGCTCCAGCAGCAACGTGACTGCCTCACAGCCCAGCTGGTGAACCTGAGAACCACCAGATTGCGCAAGAGAAACAAGGGCCTGTGTTACTGTCTCTCCTCACAACTTTTACTCAAGTAATACAGTGCATAACTTTATTGTAATTAATTGAACCATTCAGTCTCCTTTGGTTCACTCCTCAGCTAATTCAGCCAACAGAAAAAACATCACAGTGAATGACACTTAGTCCCTTGTTTTGACATAAGGCTCTTTGGTACGATGCTTCTAACAGAGCCCAAGGTGGTTGATGAGTGGGGTCAGTGCTTAGATGCTTTCAGGAAGATGAGTGCTTAAGCTCCCCAGTTATTTTTATCAAGTCTTTTTCTTGTTTTTGATAACCCAATAGAAAAATTATTCTGAGGGGGGAAAAAAACGTAGGTCCTGGTTGACCTGTGAAGTCTGTGTGTTCAGTCTGAAAGGAAGGAGGGCAGAGAGAATGGGGCCAAGAAGAGTGACTCACCAGAGTCCAAAAATGAAATCAAACACAGCCAGTAACAGAGTTCTTTTGCAGAGCCCAATATATTTAAAAAAAAAATTTTTTTTTTGAGTTGGGGTCTCATTTTATCACCTAAGCTGGAGTGCAGTGTCACAATCACAGCTCACAGCAGCTAACTTCTGGGCCCAGGTGAGCCTCCCACCTCATCATCCTATGTAGCTGGGACTACACGTACATGCCACCATGCCTGGATTATTTTTTCATTTTTTGGCAGAGACAGGCTCTCACTATGTTGCCTATGCTGGTCTGAAACTTCTAGATTCAAGCAATCCCTCCACCTTGGCCTCCCAGAGTGCTGGGATTACTGGCATGAGCCACTGCGCCAGGCCAGAGAGCTAAATATTCTATGTTAATATTTTATTTATTGACTTAGAACCCTATGAGAGATATGTACATACTACTGTATTGACTCTATAACATAAAAGGAAAGTTGAAACTATCAAATGAATGAGTAACAAATAAGTACATGAACTTTTTTTATGAAGGTAAAGCTTGCATATTTCTTTATTATGAGACACAGCCTCACTTTTAGACAACAGGAAGGAAACAGAGCAGGAAAAAAGGACACTAACTTCTTAGTTGACTCTAACATCAAGTTGTTTTCTTCGTCTAAACTTAGTCAAAATAGAATGTAAATCCCTGACAGTGTCAATCCATAGTTTTGAAAGAGTAGAGGTTAAAGTACCAATCTGCATAATTTTTGTTTGTTTTGTTTTGCTCCAGAATTGTTACTCCTAGGTGATACTAGGGAAGAATCGTCAAGTGATTTAATAATGATAAGTATTTACCGTGACATTTTATTTCAGGTTGCTTAAGGAGTTTAGGCTTCTAGAAACACTTTGAAAACCTTAAGCAAGTAATTTTCAACCCATGTTGGACTCAGTTGAGGGGGGTCATTAAAAACACTATGCCTGGACCACATCCCTAGAGATTTTGATTTAGTTGGAACTTGTTAGAAGTTTCCCACATGATTCCAGCATGAGAGCCACCAGGTTAAGAGCCACAGCTTAAAACAGGAGTTCTTAAACTGTAGTCCCAGACCTACATCTTCAGCATCACGTGGGAGTTTGTTGCAAATGCACATTGTTGGGCCTATCCTAGCTTACAGAACCAGAAGCTGACGGGATTGTGCTCAACAATCTGGGTTTTAGCAAGATCTTCAGGTGATTCTGATGCACACTTAGGTCTGGGTCTTTGAGCAGGGATTTTCTTTAAATTTTATCTTAAAGATGTGGTGTACAATTCAGGGTTAGACACATAAGTGGTCACCACACAGGTGAAGTTTGGGCCTCCCACTGGTCCTCACTTTGCCTGGTTTGGGATCAGGTACCCTTATTAGCATTCTGTGTCTCCTCCCCCCCACCCCAGAGCAGTGACCTACTACTGCCAATCCCTTTCATGTAGTGTTATGATAAATGGAGAACAAGAACTTTCTTACATTATGGTATCCTGTTTAATTTTACATAATTTGCTTTTTGCATATAATCCTCACCTGTCTTATTTTTTAAAAGACTCACTTTCAGTGCGCTATACATTAACTCCAAATAATGAAATGATAATTTATTATGAACTTCTAAGGAAATTGTCATAATTACCTTTTTGTCCAGAGAGTCCAAAATGTTATCCAACCATTTGTACAAATAGCCATCTGAGGAAAGTCCGACATTATCTGCAACAGGGCCACAACACAGTACAGCAGACATAGCCTTCAAACAATAATATCAGAATTACACTTCAAACACTTGGGAGGTGAAGCGTGGGTGCTCAATGACATAACTGTGGCTCAACGATCTAGCCACAATACCTTTTTGTTTCTTTACAAAGAAAAGTATACTAGTAATTTTTAAAACTAAGAAATGTATTATGAGTAAGTAGAACCCATGACACCAAATTAGGCATGAAGTGTAAACAGTACTAGAAGAGAAGATAAAAGACCAACAGAAAGCCCTTGGGCTTGGGCAGGAAAAAAAAAGATATTTCTTTGAGGCAATCTTCAATTCCTTAAGAAAATGGCAATCAAATTTTGGTAGATACTGAAACTCTTTTACATTGTATTTTATATACTGAAATAAACTTATGCAATAAGTGTTTGAATAAGGCAGACAAATATGTATTTGAATATTCTCAGGTAATCTGGAGACATCCCTATTCTTTTTATAAAACCACTGAGAAACTTAAACAATATTTAATCCCGCTCATAAGGTAAGGAAAAAGAAATCAGGCTTTTGGGTAAATACCTTTAACGCACAGTACTGGTGTCTATTGATTTGCATATTTCTATCACTGTATCTGTCCAAGGGCGTAAACATGATGCTAAGGGGGCCTGCCCAGTGGCTGAACAGCATGAACAGGCTGTGGCGAAGGCTCTGCTGGGGGAAAATGCTTCTTCTCTGGTGTACTGCAAATCAGAAAAGAGATGGGGAGTGTTTGTTTCCATTTCCTTTGTACGTTGACACATATGTCACGCAATTGTTGTTGAATAGATAATGCTATAAAAAGGAAAGCAAATGGTTTCATTCTAAACTACCACCAACCTGCATAGGAGCAGCGGTCATTTATATGTGTGCAAGTCACAGAACAAAGCTGTGGCCTCTGTCACCCTGTGGTACGGCGCTGAGATAGACAGAGCATCTCCACGAGTGGAATATCCAGGGTGGGCAGGATGGCACTGGGGGCAGTTCAGGGCTAGAGGTGACCCTCTGTCCCTGGTCACCTGGAAAGCCTGATCTAGACCTGTACACAAATACACCTCTGCATCTTGGTTCACTACTAAGTGAGGCTGTGGACTAGGTGTTTTTAAACTCTGTATTTCTTCAGCAGGAAAGCTGCCTTCACAAAAGAACCCTGACACAGAATTCCAATATTCAGAACAGACAAAACATGAGCTGATTGATGAGCAAGGCACAAGGCCTGGAGTCTCAGCCCCTCCTGCTGGCTCCTGCTGACAGCACCAGAGAACCCCAGGGCTCTGAGTAGCAGCAGGATTTGAAAATCACTGGTTTAAATGATCTCCCAGGATTTCTTTTTCTTTTTATTATTATTTTTTGAGTTGGAGTCTCACTCTGTCGCCCAGACTGGAGTGCAGTGGCCGCTTCCAGCCACCGCAGCCTCGCCTCCTGGGCTCCGGCGATCCTTCCACCTCAGCCTTCCGAGTAGCCGGAATTACAGGCATGTGCTACCAAGCGCGGCTGATTTTTTGATTTATTGTAGAGATGAGGTCTCGCTGCCCAGGCGGGTCTCGAACCCACAGGCTCAGGCAATTCACTCACCTCAGCTTCCCAAAGGCGTGGGATTACAGGCTGAGCCACCGAGCCCGGCTTGGGATTTCTTTTTCATTGTAAAAATTGTATTGGACAATTTTTCTGCATCAATCCTTGTTGTATAAACTCAACAGTATCACAATAAACCAATGTGGAAATTGTAGAGAAGTGTTTAGTAATAGACTAATCAGGACAAGATATAGTGGCTCATGTCTATAATCCTAGCAACTTGGGAGGACCAAGGCAGGAAGCTTGTATGAACTCCAGAGTTCAAGACCAGTCTGGGCAATACAGCGAGATCTCATCTCTTATCAAAAAAAAAAAAAAAATAGCCGTGTGTGGTGGTGCACACCTGCAGACCCAGCTCCTTGGAAGGCTGAGGCAGAAGGATCACCTGAACTCAGGACATCAAGGCTGCAGCGAGCTGTAATTGCACTGCTGCACACCAGTCTGGGTGACAGACTGAGACCCCCAACTCAAAAAAATAAATAAATAAAGCAATACATTAAATCATATCTTTACATTAGTGGAAAGATATGATTGCACATTAGATCAGAAAATTTAGAGAAAAAATGTTATTTTCCCTTAAATTGCATCTTTTTTTGCCCCAAAGATTAAAACAGGGCTCCTGCATTTGAAATTAACATACTTCATTAAGTGCTACCATGACCTTGTTAAAAGATATAATCCACACTATTTAAATGTCAACTGTCTGTATATATTACTTAAAGTAATGAAATAACTTTCATTTTTTTTTCAGGGAGAAAAAGAAATATTTGTGCTTACACTCTATACCAAAGGCTACAGTCACATTTTTATATCATATACTCATAGAGAATTTAGCTTTTTAAGATACAATTGTGTATGTTAATCTTCCTAGTGCCTCATCCAGTGTCTGTCATACAGCACATGCTCAATGACAGGAACACATCTGCTAAATGAATCAATCGGGAACACTATCCTCATTACACTTTCTCTACTCACTCTTCTATCTATTCAAAAATATCTTATTAATTTTATTCTCAATTACCATTTGGAGCATTACAATCTTTGCTCATTGCATCTAAAATAAACTTGTCCAAAGAGCTTATTCTATTGATTTCTTCAGATGTTGTGTTTGTATCTTAAGTACTGGTGAAAGTCTATGAAAGGCTGCTTTTTAACTTCTAATCACTGACACTAATTCAAAGGTAAAACAAATTCCAGCTATTCATGGTATGCTGATGTATTTTCCCAGAATGTTCACAAGTTGCTTTTTAGATTACAAAGCCTCAAGGGAATAAAAAAAATCAGACGGTCCCTTAACACTCAAAACTGCTTTAAGAAACTGAGAACAATACCTGGGACATTCTGAATGATATTCGCCACTAAGGCACTGAAATGGCACCGTATATCCTTCAGTGTGTCAGAGTCTTTTTCATTTTCTGCTTCCAGGAGTTGTCTAGTTAAATCTACATACTCCAATAAAGTGTTGTTGAGGAAATGAGTCTCATTATCAAGGCCACCACTTGCACTGAAAATATTGAAGAAATAAATGATAAAGAAAAATGTGACTTTAAATTATAATTTAAATCAAAACAAATTCCTAGTAATCAAAATCAGAATAACACATATTCAACTCTGCATGATCATGGGAGTATGCAACTTAATATACAAAAATCAAATGAACATGACTTTGGCTAACTTAAATATAAAAATAGATGGAGCTTCCTAATCAGGGAACTGCTACTGCAACTTCCATTATTCAGTTCCAGAGTTAGCTTTATGTTACTCCCTCTGTCAAAACAGACAGAATTTTTTTTTTTTGAGTTGGAGTCTCACTCAGTCACCCAGACTGAAGTGCAGTGGCCGCTCCCGGCCACCGCAGCCTCGACATGCTGGGCTCCGGCGATCCTTCTGCCTCAGCTTTCCAAGTAGCTGGAACTACAGGCGCGCGCTACCATGCCTGGCTAATTTTTTGATATATTGTAGAGATCCCAAAGTGTGGGATTACAGGCTGAGCTACTGAGCCCAGCTGACAGATTTTTAATAAGAAGATATGAAGGCATATGGGATGTGGAGGGTCAGCCAAGAAAGGCCAAAAGAGGAAAGTCTGGTTCTATCCAGTCTCACGGTTGCCATGAGTTCATGACTACTCATACTATGCCTTTAGCATAGTCAAATGTCCACTAGGTCTTTACTCTCAGTACGATTCTGGGATAGGTATTCTCAGGGATTCACAACTTTAAGAGAACTCCTATAAGAATATGAGTTCCAACTTTCCTTCTAGAAGACTCTCTTTGAGGCAAGGGGTCTGTGTCTGGAGACTACTGCCTAACGGGAGGACATCTTGTTAGAGCCAGAAGTCTTAGATTCCTGCCTTGTTCCACCAGTCATTAAGCATGTATTCAATACTGAATTCAGAGTGTTTTAGTAAGAATATAGGCTGGGATTGGGGCTCAGCCTATAATCCCAGCACTTTGGGAAGCTGAGGCAAGAGGACTGCCTGAGCCCGTGGGTTTAAGACCAACCTAGGCAACTTGGCGAGACCTCGACTATACATCAAAAATTAGCCGGGCATGGTAGTGCATGCCTGTAGTTCCAGCTACTTGGAAGGCTGAGGTGGAAGAATCGCCGGATCCCAGCAGGTCGATGCCAGGGTGGCCATGAACATGTCACTGCACTCCAGGCTGGGCAATGGAGTGAGACTCCGACTCAAAAAAAAAAAAAAAAAAAAAAAATATATATATATATATATATATATATATATATATATATATATATATATATATATATGAGTTACTATATGGAGGGGCTAAAAAAATATATAAACATTTTAAGTATGACATTCACTCAAAAGATGGTGTTAATCGAATGCTAGCATCACCATGCAACAAGCAAGACAAAGAAAATGGTGGAAGCACGGCTGAGCAAACTTCATACTACATTGCAACTGAAACTTAATCAACTTTGAAAGTAATACATAATATCTCTTAAAATCTGTGTACTTTTCTTGGCACCCTCCTGTATGAAAAGGTCTCATAAACAGTAAGTGCTATATAAAAGATTAGTCATTACATTTATTTAGGTCAGTTTTTCCTTGATGTATTTGAAAAGTACTTCTAATATGTATTACCTGAAAAGTAAAAAAAAAAAATGTATTTACTAGTTCTGAGTAGCTCCTTAATTAACACTGTAAATCCATGAAAACAAGAGGAAGGAGTTACAATGGAGCTATAGTAGATTAAAAATACCAGGCTGTGATGATAAACTTGCATTGACTAAAGGAGTCAGGACAAAGTTTTCCTTTGTTCCTGAAATGAGTGTTTTGAAAGCTCTGAGTCATGACCTATTAGTGGGTGGAAAACCAATTAATGGTTGCAGCCTGTACCAGGAAAAAATATCCACTCATTTAACAAATACTCATTGGGGATCTACTACATATCAGGCGCATGGGATCCACTAGGTGAACACCACAAGGGAGTCAAACTTCTTGACATGCAGAAGGAAACAAAAAAATATGTAATAGCAAGAACCTTCTATCAACTTCCCTTTATAAAAAAACCCTGAAACAAAATATACAACTGTGTTAAAAAATCACTATTACTTAACAGTGAATATAGTTTTTGTACCAAATTTGAGCTAGGCCAATATTGTGCATTCCCCAAAACAGCACCATTCAGAGACTTTTTTCATTCACTAACATTAAAAGCAACCAAAAAGGGAAGGTTCAGATGTGTGCTGGGCTGTTATTTTTATACTTTACTTTTCCTAACTTTGACGGTTTGACTTTTGTGAAGGATGGAAAAGAGAATGATGTTTCTTTTTCTTCTTTTCATTGGCTTTTCACCTACTAGGAAAGGAAAGGAAATCAGTGGTTTATATTCTCTTTGACACACTCTATTTTGAAAGCACTTGCCAAAAGCATTCAGTGCTGCATATGAAGGGTGTTGGGTTCACTAAGAAACACAAGGACTGACCAGGACAAGGTATGCAGCTCTCACAGCCACTACACTGCTGGATGATAAACATGTTTTCTCTTAAGAACTCTTTCCAGTTACCTTTTCTGAATATAGTCAGATGGAACATTATTCTCTTTCAATGGTTATGTCACACCATCACCCACCCAAGGAAATAGTTATTTCTCAGCACACAGCTGATGGAAGTTTTCCCAAGGGGCTGGGCTGAGTGCCAAGTGCCTTTCTCTAGCAATAACCCCAGGTTTTATTTGTGAATGGTGGAAAACACAGTTATGAATTGTTTGTGAATTTCATAATTTTCCTACCAGGACAGAGATCCAATTCACTGGAATAAATCTGTAAACCTTAGCCTGTGAATACAAGTATTTCTTCAAGCCCAGAAGAAAAAGATCTTTAAAACGAGGTAAGAAACAGGTACATCTGTCAAGAAAAGCCTGCTGCTGCCCACTTGCCTAGATAACTTGGTTCCAAAAAATATCAAAATCATAGGAACGTTTTAACCAATTTTTTGGCTAAAGCAAACCAGTTCTGGATAGTAGATTTTTCCATGTTGGGGGGCTACTGATTAATTCACTGGCTATATATTTATTTGGTAAATAATTTTTACAGCAATACATACAGGCAACAATGAAGGTTTTCTTGTTGCAAAGGTGCTTTTCTGGTTCTACACATTTCACAAGAGAAGAGGGATTATGTTCTCTAATCATTCCACAGTTTCCAAAATCTGAATCCAATACCTACCTGTGACTAATGACACCAGCATCTGCCAGCAGTTCAAATATCCGCACCAGCTGTACTCGCAAAATGTCTCGACGCCTGCGCCGTTTCATATTCTAGTCCAAAGATACAAAGGTAGTAATTAAAAATCCTTCAGGGGACTTGCAGGTGTAACTTGGAAAGAATAATGTGTGACCATCTCAGAGAGGCTCCTCAGAGTTATTTTACTCTTGCAGTGTAGACTCTTGAGCTATATCAAAGAGATCTGTGCAAATTCAAAATAGTTGCAAATTCAGGAGCCTAACAAAATCACATGACATTTTACATGGTGATACCTTTGTGCGGGAGGGAAATTTGAGATGATTTGCTCATCTGACTGTTGAGAACTGAAGTCAACTAGTAAGTTATTGCAATTGAATGATTAAAAATTCCATAAGACGCTCCCAAAGTGTGACAGAGACAGGGAAAAAAGTCCTAAGGGGACTTAAGAAACACACAGATGCTGCTCGTGCCAAAGCTTTCCACTTAACGCTAATTTTGGCACAAAAATTAAGTGTTAAAAAAAGCAAAAGAAAAACGCCTCTGCTCATTTTGGTATGAATAAATATGTTTGTATTACTAGGGCCAAAGAATTAATGCCTGGAATAATAGCTGGCACACTTCAACTTAATTCTGCTTCTAACAGGAAGTCAAATACTTGTACAGATTACTCACATTACTTTCTAGTATAGTTTTATTTCATTTATGATGTCATTTTCATATAGCAGAGCAGTTAAAAATGTATTTATCACTCTTTCACTTTCTTGTCCATAACTGACTTTTCTGTCTTCTATATACTGACTACCTTATTAAATTTACTGTTTCTTTGATCTCTTTCTAAAGTTTCCAGTAATTCATTTGGAACGGGATGGTTTCTTAACAGCCTCTGAGGATTTCTGAAAAGTTTTAATTGTCCTGTTTTCATTTTGCCTCCATAGAAAGATTGTGAGTCTAAAGTTCTCAAACAATAACTCACATTCAAGAGACATCACTCACATATCTAATCACTGTGCTGACCTTTCTCCTTGACATTCACAAGTAGAATCACTGCCACTTCACTGTTTCCAACCTCACTTCCCTCTAAAAAGTCATCCAGCATGGTCATCCGTAACCAAAATGACCATTCTGAAACAAAAAACGGAGGGCAAATGGGGATCCCGTGGCCGCCCCCCAGCGCTGCTCTAGGGGAAGGGATAGGATCACAGACTGCCTCTCCCTCCCACCTCCTGCTGAGGCTTCCCAGGGGAGTCCTAACATTAGCAGTAGTGATTCTCAGACAGTGTCTACATCTACCTCATCTCATTACAAAAGTAGATTTCCAGGCCCTACTCCAGGGAGTCTATTCAACAGTCACAAATCTGTAACCAAGCTCCCCAGGTAATTGTCGATGCCACCAGCACCACAACCCCTGGTCTCGTGGACAAAGCTGAAGCCAAGAATCTTCACGAGCCAGTTCCCACCTTGCTGTCCAGTCCAAAAGCGACCCCATCATATGATCACACTCCAAATTCTGGGTAAAGTTTGCAAATGCTATTCTTCTGCCGAAAATGCCTTTCCCTTGCTTGTCCACTGAGGATGTCCCCTCCAACTCCAGCACTCCCTTAAGAAGTCCTTCCCTCCTGCTGGCAGAGCCAGAGTTGGCTCCTCTGTAACTCTTACACTCCTCATCTGTAACTGTATCTCTGTGTGTAATAAATTGCTACAATCATGGTTTCATGTCTTGTCTGTCCCACTAGGCCCATGGTTTCTAATAGTTGCTCTGATACAGATCTGTAGAACTGGATCTCTAGACGTTATCTGGAAATCTGTGACACTATGGCCCACATGCCAATCTGGCCCATTGCTGTGTTACTATAAATAAAGTTTTATCAGAAAGCAGCCACACCCAATTGTTTATGTGGTCTATGAATGCTTTCCAAGGACAAAAGCAGAGTTGAGTAGCTGCAGCAGACAAGAGTAAGGCCTGTGAGGCTGAAAAGATTTCCTAGCTGGCCATTCACAGAAGAAGCTGGGCAGCTCCAATTTAGACCCTATTTCCTGCCTTCACTGAATTGACAGCAATTTTTCATCTGTTTTTTACAACACACATTTTTGCAAACAATTATTTTCTGGCGAGTAGATGTCTATATCTTTAAAAAAAGTTCAAAATTGTACTAGATAATTTTTTCTTTTCTTCCCCCTCATTACCTAGATTTGTTTATTGTATTTTTGTTTGTTGATTTGTGTGCTTTTGAAAGCAGGATTTATTGAGAGGACAGAAGAGCTCCTGATAATCTCTTCTTAATGTGCAACTTTTGGCATAATATGTAGAATATAGCAGAAAAATAAATGCTTACTAATAGAAAAGAGGAGAACACAGCTTACCTCTGGCCTTCTTTCTAGTGCTTCTTTAATTATGGGATGTAATTCCTCTATTAGTTCCCTAGAAGAAAAATGATAGGCCTTCTATCTACTAATAACTAAACAAATATAATCTGACACAAGCAAATATATAAATATTAACATAGTGATGTAAACTGATAAGTGTTAACCCTAATCCTATTGTTTTAAATTCAATTTTTATTGCTTTATTTTGATTATAAAATAAATTATATTATAAAACATTAAGATACCAGAAATAATGGTTTAGGCCACTTATTCTGAGGTTAAGTACTATCGATATTTTTTTCTGTTTACTACCCACATATGTTTTACATAATTGAAACCCTATTTTATGTAAAATGGTATCCTTTTTTTCAACATTAGTAGAGTTAATTTTATATACATAACTTAAGTCATAACATTCTAGCATAGGGTGGGATGCCAAAATTTTCTTAACCATTTTCATTTATTACTGAATCAAGTTTTACCACATTTTCTATTACTATAAATATTGCCTCTCAGTGAACAACTTTATACATTTATCATTGTCTCCATTTCTGATTATCTCCATGGGATTAATCTACAGATTAAATTAATGAGTTAAGGGGTATAAATGTTACAAGAAGAAAATAAAATCTATCCATGATCTTATCATTTTAGAAAAGTGCTGACAAAGTGTCTGCCTCAGAACTGTTTCTAATTATAAGAATGATTATTTTTAAGAAGTTGAGATCACTTTTATGTCTTATTTTTTTCAATTAGTACAACAGTGTATTTATCTATCATAAAATCCTCTTCCAAACCTTCATTTACAATGAGTGCTATCCCATACCTATAGATATGTTACAATTTATTAATGTATTCTCTTGTACATGGTATCTTGGAGACAAAACATCAAATTTCAGTTCATATTCACTGAGGAAGAAGAATAATTTCAGGGTCCAGCAGGCAACACTGCAGAACCTCAGCCAAATGAAGAATGCTTCATGAACATCAAAATTTCAAGGATTATATCAAACATGTATGTCGACTTTTTTGAAAGCTATTACAATTGTCCTGTGTAAGAAGGGGAAACCTGGAGCGCTCCCACTTGACCAACATCACACATTAACAGAATTACCATGTAAATAAACCAATAGGAAAATGTTAAAGACTGAGGTGGCATTTTATCATTTTAGAACATATTTATGTAGGTACATTTGGGTTTTTTTAATAATAAGTCTGTGAAAACAGGATAAATCTTAATTTGCTCAATCAAAATGAGGAAATAAAGGCTCAAACAAGTTAAATGCCTTGTCAAATGTAGCATGGCTAATTAACTGGAAATATGTTACCCGTTACATGGCCAGTAAACTGGCATGCAATTATCCCAGGAAATAAGCTGCCCCCATGCCCCTGATCTAAGCAGTGTGTTTATTTCAGGGCACAGAGAAAATAAAAGACGAGAGTTACCTGAAAGCTCCTGGGTTGGTCCTGCCAAGACCAAGAACGAGGGATTCTGTGATCTCCAAGCTTTCAGAGCGCATCATTGGAACTATGTGCTTGAACAGGGAGGAAGGGGATGGGATGCCAACGATCTGGGGAAAAAGAGTATAGTTACAGCCGCCCCCAGGGACACTGTGTCAAACATAGTAATTTGAGATTCAACAGTCTTGGTCAAGGGTGAATGGACAGGTAAAACCTTAATATGGATGTGCTTCAAATTCACCCATGGTATATATCACCCAAAAGAATAAATAAATGAGTTGGCCAACAGCTTGGTGCAAGTTAACAGAACTAGGGTCTCTTAACTTCTTACAGATAACCCCCATCATATGATAGGTGATAGGCTGACTCTCTCCTTCAGAAAATCTATATCTTTCAGTTTATGAAAATGAGTAAAACAAAATTACTTCTACAACAGCCATCAGTGTTAAAGTCAGACACTCTGGCCTTAAATTCTTGAAGTTTCCCTGAGCTACTCTACATTGTTCTATGGCATATCATAAAAACAACATCACTTCTCTTACCAAGTACCCTTTCTATCACTACACAACATAGGAAAATTCTAGACAGGCATGTCATTATTAAATGATTCCTTTGGGATTTGGTAAGTGTGAGAACTACAGGAATCAGAGTAAGGGAAAACAGGTATGAGTATTTCTTTAAAGATATTTGTGATGATAAATTTAATGAGTGTGGGCCATTCTTTCCAATGAAGAACTCTAAACAAACTATTGATACCAACTAAGAATCCATGAAATAGTGACGATGTTTTTTGAAGTATTTTCACTTTTAGTGCATGTGAGTGATACAATTTTCAACCAAGTTACTGTCCACGAAAGGACATTTTCATGCATGTTTTTTACGGGGCCATTCCGACTCTGTGGTAGCTCTCCAGACTTGCCTTGGAATCGCTGCTGTAGCCGCTGTCAGGGGTGGATGCCAGTGTCTCGGGAGGGGAGCACCGCACGGAGCCTGCAGACGTGGGTGAGGATGCTGAGGCGGCCGCGCTGCAGCACAGGATCAGGTAGTTCCTCCACAGGCCTACATAGGAGTCACTGCTGGTGGCGGTGCTCACCTTCTTAGCATTGATGGGGCTACTGAGGGAGATAGGCAGAGGGGAACCGCATGGCTTGCTTCAAACGGGTGGGTTTTTTTTTAACTAATGCCAAGTTTCTATCAATGTAAGGAGATGATTATCATAAAGTTTTTATTACATTACTTGTACTAAGTCTCTGTGGAATGATATAAATGAAAACTAAAATGTACTACAGGTGCGTTGTTGTTTTTTTTTTTGAGTTGGAGTCTCACTTCGTCACCCAGACTGGAGTGCAGTGGTTGCTCCCGGCCACTGCAGCCTCGACTTGCTGGGCTCCAGCGATCCTTCCGCCTCAGCCTTCCAAGTAGCTGGAACTACAGGCACGCGCTACCACGCCCGGCTAATTTTTTGATTTATTGTAGAGATGCGGTCTTGCCACGTTGCCCGGGCGGGTCTCAAACCCGCGGGCTCAGGCAATTCACTCACCTCAGCCTCCCAAAGGTGTGGGATTACAGGCTGAGCCACTGAGCCCGGCTACTACAGGTGTATCTTAACATAATCTATTTTTCCTTTGATAAAAGTCAGCATTTTATTGAGCCATATTTTATAATTTATTATGCATGTTCCATATAGAAAGAAAATAAATGAAAATCACCTTTAATTTCACACCAAAATAAGCACTGTACATTCTATATATCTTCAGTTCATTGTCATGTACTACAAAATGCATGAACATGTTGCTTTTAATTCATAAAAACTGAGTAGCATTTGCTTTGTACTCACTAAATTTTAGATTTTCCACAGACTGTTAATATCCCTCCATGTAAATGAACATACTTTCACGACATTCTTTTGATGACTGTATGCTACACTATTATATGGATTATTATATTTTATACACTCAAGCTTTCCTTGTTTGACATTTTAGCTAACAGCAATTTTTCCCTACTGTACACAAGACTACTATACAGTTGAGTTATACATACTTAATTATGTTCTTAGGAAATCCTTGAAAATGAAATCACACAGTCAAAAAAATCTACACTTTCAAGGCTTCTGACAAAGTCTTGTCTCTAAAGATTATACCAATACAATATTTTGAAACAATACCATAATCTTTCCAGATACCAAAATTCTGTTAGGATTAATGAATGAAAGTGAAACAAGAAAAAGAAAAAATCCTAATATATAATCCTTGCCTTCAACAGGTTTTGTACCATGTTAAGATAAATTATGCATATACACCACGTCAGTAATTCAGCAACAGCACCTCAGAACAGTGTCACAGTATGTAAGAAAATATTGCGACAGTGGAACACAGTAGCCAAAACCAAAACAAAAAATTGACAGAAATCGCTGTCCTCATGTGGGCCAGGGGAGTAGACAATAAAGAAACAAATAAAACAAGGTCAGATGGTGCTAAGTTTCATGAAGAAAAACAGCAGAAAGGAGAGAGAGGAAATGCTGGCAGGGGAGGGACAAGAATATAAAATATGGTAATTAGGGACAACTATTTAAGATAAGGTTGTAAATGTTAGGCAAGGTGCCAAGTGTCACTTTCATTAAAGAAACATCCAATATATAAAACTTGATAATCTACGTATACATATGGTTAGTATATATACACAGAAATACCATATCACACATACCCACACATTTAAATCCAAAAGAAGTGAGTACACTGGGTAAAAAGTAAAGGAGGTCTTTAAAAAGAGGTAGAATTTGTATCAGATATGGACATGCAGGAGATAGATAATATCAAAGGTACTCTGGGCTTGTGCAAACACAACTCACAGAATGGCAACTGTAACCCACATGTGGTGAACTTTGAGAAGTGCATTTTGGTTTCCACATTGATGGCATTGACAGAAAGTAAGAAAAAGTGTATAGAGTGGAGTTGGGTTGAGAGAGTCTTTCATGAGTCTAAGTGCAGGTTCGATCTCGGTGCTGGGTTTCCCAGGCAAGTCAGAAGACGAGAGGATGCATTTTACTCAGAAAGATCAACAGCATACTACAGGTAAACTGGGAAACCAAACTCAGGCTGAAAATTATCTTCTAAGGCCGGGCGCAATGGCTCATGCCTGTACTCTCAGCACTTTGGGAGACTGAGGTAGGAGGATCACTTAAGGCCAGGTGTTCAAGACCAGCCTGAGCAACATAGCAAGACCTCAGCTCTACAAAACATCCAAAAAATTAGCTGAGTGTGGTGGTGTGTGCCTATAGTCCTAGCTACTTGGGAGGGTGATGTGGGAGGATCACCTGAGCCCAGGAGGTCGAGGATGCGGTAAGTCATGATCATTCCAATGCACTCCAGCCTGGGCTACAGAGTGAGAACCCAACTCAAAAAAATAAAAATTAGTAAAGTCAACTTTCCACCTCATTATCAGTTACTCCAAATCTTTGCCAATATCCCCAAATCCACAAATCAATGCACTGTCACCACTCTCAATCAGATGTCCTCCCTGGTATCATGAGGAAAAGGCCATGGAGCTTTTTTCTCTCTGCTTCTTACCCTTTATCTATAATCTTACCTATAGCCACATAAATACTCATCTTCAGAGCCTCTCCTGATTCTTTCATTCAATAGATTCCCTGGACACTTACTGTGCACCAAGCACAATGTCATTAAGGAAACTAACAAAGTTTGATTGACACTGAGCTACATGAAATAGATGAAAGGGTGACAAGATGACACCCTGACCACTTTCCTCTCCCTCCTGCAAACAGCAACACCATGTAGCATATTATTTATAGGACCTCCAGTTTACAGCACTTTTGCATTTTTCAGACATACATTATGAGTGTGGGTAGTCTACATATTTTTTAATTTCCTAGAAAAATAACTTACTTTATATCAACCTGCGGGGACAACGACTGAAGCCTTGTGTATGCAAACATCCAAGCGTAGCTCACGGTGGTTGCGCAGTGCTTAGGGAGGTTTTCTTGCTTTAGAAAACTGGAGAGACTTATGATCCATGGGTCTTGGCCTTGGGTCACATGTGCGAATATCCATATGTGTGATGGACTAATCACGTCAAACTGGTGGCTGATGGGAGAAGAGTTCCACTCTGCCAGTGTCTGCAGATCTACCGAGCTGGGGCAGTAGAGCAGAGCGGTCTATGCGGGAAGAAATGGATCACTGCTCATTTCAGCAACTTTGAAAGCTCTGCCATCCAAGTTGCTTTAAACAGAAAGTAGCTGACTGACCAGGAGTCTCCAGAAAAGAGGGAATAGGAGGTTCAAGGGGGGTTAAGGACGTAGTGAATTGGCGAGACCTCATCTCTACAATAAAAATAAAAAAATAGCCAGGTGCAGTAGCATGTGCCTGTAGTTCTGGCTACTTGGAAGGCTGAGGCAGAAGGATCGCCAGAGCCCAGCAGGTCGATGCTGACGTGACCGTGAGCATGCCACTGCACTCCAGCTTGGACAACAGAGTGAGACACCAACTCAAAAAAAAAAAAAAGGAAACTAGTGAATTTCTGAAATTGCACAGAAGGTTCTTTGTGCATGTGCATACACTTTTTTTGGAGAGGAATTCCTTAACTCTCATTATTCTCAAATGGATCTACAGACCAAAGTTAAAAGCCACCACTTAAGTAATTCCTATGTGAACACCCAACTTTCATGGTATATTGAAGCCACTAGAATGAAAAGGTGAACCATGAACCTCACGCTGACCTATCCTACCTATGCATGAGTGGAAGTGACTGGTCCCTCTCCAGGTGTATAGGCTTCAATAATGCTTGAGCTCAGCCGGGTTCGGTGGCTCAGCCCGTAATCCCGCGTCTTTGGGAGGCTGAGATGAGTGGATTGCCTGAGCCCGTGGGTTGGAGACTTGCCTGGGCAACTTGGCGAGACCTCATCTCTACAATAAATCAAAATGAGCCGGGCGTGGTAGCACGTGCCTGTAGTTCCAGCTACTTGGAAGGCTGAGGCGGAAGGATCGCCGGAGCCCAGCAGGTCGAGGCTGCGGTGGCCAGGAGCGGCCACTGCACTCCAGTCTGGGTGACAGAGTGAGACTCCAACTCAAAATAAATAAATAAATAATGCTTGAGCTCTTAAACTAAAAAGTTAGACCACCTTCACAGCAAGTTATATTCACTAGGGTCTGCTTTAGACACCAGAAGCAAGTCATCCATTGTGCTCTTTGTTAGTATAATACATAGTTACTACATAAAATAAAACTCTTTAAATTGTACATTTTTTTAACAAAGAAAAAAATTTAAACTAGAAGAGATATTTAAAGGTTCTCACCATAAGGAAATGATAGATGCATGAGGTAATGAATATACTGACTCCCTTGATTGAATCATTATACAACATAGATATATGTAATGAAACATTGAAATTATATATATTTTGGGTGTCCAATTTGATCAATTATAGGGTTAGTCTGTACACTGTACTCCATAATATATACAATGTGTTGATTAAAAAAAAATTAAAACTAAGATTAAACAGTTTAGCACCATGGGAAGAGAATTGTGCAGATTTTAATTATTTTTTAGGCTTATAAAATTTTATCATTAGTTCCTTTGATTGCAATTTTATCATTGTTCCTTTGATGAGTTATAAGAGTCTAGTTCATGCAAAAAGCACATATCCTCTTGTCCATGTATTCCAAGATAGGGGGAAAAATTTTAAGTAGTAAAGTTTGATAGCTATTTTTATACCAATCTCAGAATCAATACTGGATCTTTTTTTTCCCAAACCCAAATAATAAAGTTTACCTAAGCTTTCTTAAGTAATGTGTTTACTGAAAGTGTTTCTTTCCATCTTAATGAGTCAACGGACATGACTCTAGCATAGAACACTATATACTTAGTATACAGTATACAGCCATATCTCCCTGAACTTGCCTGGTCTCATCTATCACAGAAGCTAAGCAGGGTCAAGCTGGTTCGTACTTGCATGGGAGTAAACTTAATCTACTGCATGTAAACTCATGTGACAAAGCAAACGAAAACTACTCACTGGAGAAGCAGAGTATAAATTTTTGCTTCAAATTTCAGCAACACTTTTTTCCATAGCATTTTAACCAGTATCTTTATATCAAGAATATTATATGCCATAATAAATAGCAAATAAGAGTCCAAGATACATTAATAAATTTAAGGGAAACTTCTTAGATGGGAAGGATTAGGATTTTACAAAGATAAAATTATTTTTATTTCTATGGTGAAGACTACTAACCACACAGTTTGAACAAGTGGCACTTTTAACATATTTTTTACATTTAAAGCATTTTATAGTTTTCAAAAATACTTTCCAATGCATTTCATTTGTTAAGAAACTTCATGTATGTAGATGTCACAAGTTCCAGAATAAGACCAAGGAACAAGAAATCATCACAGTTACCTGATCAGCCCCAGTGAGATGTATGAAGCTCTCAAGAATGGACGGGCTCAGTCTGTCCATCACATCTATGGCCAACTCATCATCACCCTACAAAAAAGACATCGAGAGCCTAAAAAAATTAGGAAGCTTCAAGAAAAACAGTCAAACCCACATCAACACTGGCAATTTGCTTTAGCACTGCTTGTTACAAATGAGATTGAGGAGGTTGGGTTAGTTCAGACCCTATCCCAAAGACTTTGTTATTAAGTAAGTTCTACCTACATGGTGGGAGCAGAAATGGGAGGAGGAGAAACAGAGGGGCAGTGTTCAAGTTCTTCCATCAGATATCCAAGTGAAACACCAAAACCTTACCTTAGGTATCTCCAAAAGTACAAACAGAGCCCGTATTTCTCTAAGGACACTGACGGCTAATCTCCTGGTGGCAGGTCGACTGCTACAGAGAATGACAAGCGCAAAGCCCTCGACCACATGGAACACGCTAGAATACGGGCTCCTCTCCAGAGGAGGGGGGTGAGACATGCCATTAGCTACATCATGCTTGAAAAGTAAACAGAAGGTCAGTGTAAAAAATATGTATGTATACACATTCCAGAAAAACAAGAAAGAGTAAAGCAAATCACATAGTATGGCTCCAGGTCTACCTCAGCTCAAGTGGCCTAAAAAAGCAACTAACTTACAAAGCACAGTGGTGTGCACAGTGGAAGATGTGTTCCCCTGGCAGTCTGAGTACAGATTTTGTCCCTGTCTTCTATCATTCTGTCTTCTTTGCAACCTTGGAAGTGACTGTTGCTCTTCACCTAAAGTTTCTGTGAGAGGACTAGACTGTATCTTTCATGCTCCAAGTGTGGGCTCGCAGCTTCACACCACCTGGGAGTTGGCAGGAGGCTTTCTTGGGCCCCTGTCCACAGGCATGCTCATTAAAGGCTGAGAAGCTGGGTTGGCTTAGACGGTCTAGCTCTAAAATTCCATAGTTCTTTGATTTTCCCATGATCATAAATCTACAACTTGAGCACCATTTATAGTTCAGTAGCACAGATACTGAATCTGTGAAACAGGAACTGGTGCCAAGGACAAAGTAAGCAAATAACCCAAAAAGAAATTTCCAAAAACGTTATGACATCAACCTTAAATATACTGGAAACAACCTATATGTGAACTAGAATCATCTCTACTTTCTATACTCATTAGACACAAGCTGTTACCAAAGGAAGAAGGTTAGAAAGGTCAGACACACAAATGCTACAGATTTAATATAGGAACTATGGGAACGTTCTATTTAGGTGATCGTGAACACATTAAAAGTGAATAGAACTCACACAACTTCGCATGGGAGATATATTAGTCGATGCTAATGGTGGCTTCCCACCGACCACACACAGATGGGTGATACAGAAGAATCTAGTACCTGCGAGTCCTGGTTTTTGTTATGCATCTGAGCTGCTTGTTTCCACTGATTTATCAACTGGACCAACATCTTGACAGCATTATCAAGGAGCGTGGGATGGACATCAGTCACATCACGAACAATGAAATAAACAAATCCTGAGAGGACGTCCTCCCGCCAGTCCGGAAAATCAAGCATTAGCGCCTGCAGAGTATTGAAGGCCAGGGCACGCAGTTCTTCATCCATGTGAATCGTGAGTCTGCCAAGAATCAACTTGCGTCAGTAGATTTATCACCTAAAACATAAAACTAAGAACTCAAAAAATACACCAGGCTGGGTGCGGGAGCTCACACCTGTCATCCCAGTACTTTCAGAGGCTGAGGCAGGAGGACTGCTTGAGCCCAGGAGTTCAAGATCAGCCTAGGCAACTCAGTGACACCTCATCTCTACAGATAGTCAAAAAAGCAGCCAGGTATGGTGGTGTATGCCTGTGGTCCCAAGTACACAGAAGGCTGAGGCCAAAGGATCATGGGAGTCCAGTTGATCAAGGCTTCAGCAAGCCAGAAGCATGTCACTGTACTCTAGCCTCGACAACAGAGTGAGATTCTGACTCCAAACAAACAAACAAACAAAAACCTCTTGATTTGGAAGTAGCTGGAAACATCTCCTGTTTTGTAAGAGGCATATGTATATGTATAGACAAAACCCAAGGTTCACTTTTTGGTGCTGTGTCCACCCTTCTGCCAGTCTAATAGTCATCGGCTTACATTCAAGTCTGAATCTACTAATAGTAGTTGGTTCTTTTACTATCACTCAAAATAATTAGTTTGATCTTATTGCATTTTAGAAAAAGTACAGGTGACGTATCAGAATTCCACTTAAAATTTCTTGAATCCTTAAAATACATGATGTTATCCTGTAATCAATAAAAATCTTAGCACTAATCATTAATTAATTATTAACTAATTAGCACTATCTTACGCTCATTTACTCCTTTACTCTCTTATTGGAAGGGACTTGGTTACAGCATGGTAACCATATGCTATAGGTTACAGTGAAGGAAACATAACAAATCAAGATGTAATCCATTTAAGAGAAAGTGGGAATGAGAGTAAGTTTAGGAGTGGTCTATGCCAAGAAGAAAAACAAAAAAAATGTGATGGCTCAACACATAATATACTAGAGAGTTTAAGTCTAAATCAATTATGAAAGAAGATTTATAAATTTACCCTTTAAAGGCATCATGACAACATGTGCCTTTGAACATAATTTTAGTTAAAGCATTTTACCAGAACATAAAAAAAGAGAATGATAAATAAGAAAACCATAAAAATGGCTGAAGAAGTGAAGCCAGCACATGTAATACTACACGAATAGGTTTCTGGTCTGGGGCTGAAGATGATAATTTTAATAACTGACTATAAAAACAAATGCAGTTTGAAATAGTCTGAATGAGTAAGATAAGCAGGTAATATTAAAAATATACCACAATCACATGCTTGGGAGCTGGAGGCTGGTGTTATCCACCATAACAGTAAACAAAAGCTGTGCGGTTTTGAAGGTGGTATCTTCACCCTGCTAAACTCAGCTCTGGTCTCCACTAAGTTACCCCTCAACCACAAGACTAAAGAGAAAATGTATTACAGCTAGACAGACTGAGGACCAAGCTATAGAGTTATCATAGTCACAGCAGCACATCAGAAAAAAGCAGTGTCGAATTTCAGATCTCTATTGCTGACAGCGGCACCCAGGGATGTGCTGTGGGAGAGGAAGGGGACAGTCCTCCATGATACTGATGTGAAAGGTTGTTTTAGCACCTATCAGTGAGTCAGGGTACATAAGCATGAGTTAACTACTCACTGTGCAGAGAAGAACCATGGTGTGGTCTGGCTAATTAAAGACAGGGGAATCGATTAACTTTCCTTAGGGCCAGCATCCAGGTCTAGAGAGTCACAGTGTATCTGTGTTCTGTTTGCCTCCTTTACGTTAAAGAAAACAACATTTAGATGGCACAATTCCAAATGACAGAAGAGGACGGGACAGAAGAGACCTTGGGAATTTTCTTTCCAATGAAGTAAATTAATTAGTAAAAGAATCTCTAGAGAAGACAAGCAAAGTACACAGAAATGTCACTTGCTGTTTAGATGTTTGTCCCTTTGCTGGGCTCCTCTGTCCCTGCTCCCTCAGCTATAGTGTCATTTTGGAGGAGAATAGGGGAAGTGTGCCCTTGCACTATCCAGCAAGACGTAAGCAAGTTTGGCAGATGTAGGAGGATGAAGAGAAGACTGAATGAGAGTTGTTCACTGCTCTCCCAAGGAGCAGTGTTATGAATCGTTAAGGTTTCTGATTTCTAATGTTGACATGAACTTTGCAACTCTGCAATCTAATTCATAGCAAAAATTAAGAGAAGTGTGAGATGAGGATAAATTCATCTAATAGTGCAAAATAACCCCTCTCTCCCATAATCCTCACAGGGTACAGGTACCCTTCTCCATTTCTGACCACAACAGACAACAGGTGAGGATAAGGTACTGTCAGGTTTGTGAAGATGTTTTCAAGAACTGGGGAGAAATAAATGGTTGCTGAAGTTATCTATTAATTTTTTTGTTTATTGTGAATTTAACTTCAGCCTTAGGATGAATATCCAGAAACAAGTAAATATCTCAATAAAGTCAAGCACAGAAAGTCCCCAAGAGATGAACAAGTCCTGTTCTGAGAGTACATTTGTAAGTCCCATTTGTTTTAAGTTCAACAAAACTAGCCTAGGAACCCAACTAACACATCAGCTATGTAGTATTGTATGTATTTAACAGTCTATCCTGACACCTGGTGGAGAGAAACAATAAATACAAAAATACAGGAGTGCACCATTAAAATTCATAACCTGAAGGTTCGCATATAGGGGACTTACTATATCTCTTCTCTGTTATAGTCATTATAGCTGGTTTTTCACCTAGGACAGGAGATGGAAAGTTGTGGCTCAAGGGCCTCTTCCCCCAGATGCCCGTGGGACTGATGTCACATGCTCCCCCACCTACTGCCCCAGATGCTTTTTTACTACAATAGCAGGGATGAGACCTTGTCTGTTATGATAAATAGATGTAGATATTTTGGGGGTAAACAATAATTTAATTTATTCATATAATTTGTAAAGTCAAGTCAGTGTAACTGGGATATGCATCATCTTAAACATTTGTCTTTTTTTTATGCTTCAAACCTTCACATTATTTTTTCTAGCTATTTTGAAATATACAACAGATTACTGTAGACTATAAGTAGTCACCTTACTGATCTATCGAACAGTAAGTCTTATTTTTTTCTGTATATGTATGCTTTTAATCAGTCCTGGAGATGGGTATTTGTGGCAAAGACTATATGACCTGCAAAACTCGAAAAGATTTACTATTTGGTCCTTTATAGAAAAATTTGCTGGTCTCTTATCTAGAGAATTCTTAACTGTATCAACAAAGCAGTTTTCCAACAGGTCATCACCTATACCTGGAATTAGGAGCTAATGTTTAAGTTTAGATGCCATGCTATTTATTCACTTTACAGAGCTCTGCCAGGTCTAAGAGAAGAGAGAGAATAACATGAAGGCTACAGTTCTGCCAGCCTGACAAAAAGGTGCAGATGAGACCCGGCTACCATACAAGGTGCCAAAGACACGTCAGCAGGAGTGAATGCAACACGGAATTTTTGAATTAGGTGTTATCATCACTGAGAATGCCTGTCTGTTAGGGGAGGATGTGGTCCCTAACTCCCAGGAAGTCTGTCTAGATGGACAAATGGAATTGAAGATGGCATCTGTGGAGAATTCACAAGGGAACAGTGAAGAGTGGGGAGAATGGGTTTAACAAAAAACAAAAGCAAAATGTGAGTTGAGAGAGTAAATCAAATAAAGGAGTAAAATGTCTATTTGTCTTCCTTTTGAGTGATAACAGCGGGGTGTGTTAGAATTTAAAGGGTTAGAGGACATACAAATTCACATCACAAACAACAATCCTATTTACCTTGCTAACAATTCAATGAGGTCAGTTCTGCTCATGCCATCAGGAATCAGCCTTGGAATAGCAGCAATACAAGTTCTAAATAAATCAATTTTTGGTTTTCTTTCCCCCCTGAAAAACATAACAAGATTTAATAAGAAGTATACCACATATGCTAGACAATGAAATCAAACTTGGAAAAATAATTACAGAAAGTGGGAGCCCTCTCCCCAAGTTTATACTGTTAATATAAAAAGAGTGCACACGAATCCAGTGGATAATTATCAGTCTATACATGGAAAAAAGAACCACAGAAATAATTCAGGAAAAAAACACAGTAGCAAGAAAAAGCGTTTTCAGCAATCAGAAAACAAGCATGTAGCTATTGTTATTAAATGACAAATGTTGTTTAGACAAATTGTTATATAATTACTTCAAATATTGTTTATTTAAATGTTACTTTATATTTAGCCTTTCACAAATTATAGTGAATTATTATATAATAATGCATAATAATATAGATATTATTAAATAACTAAATACTGGTTATTATTGAGGCCTATAAAATTAAATTTTTTTTCATTTAGTATCCTATACTAACAACAGTCTTAGAAACAGCTCTTTCATATGTAGGTATTGGCGTTGTTTTTCTTGTCCTGTGTATAACACACACACACAAATACACATACTTAAAACTTCTGATAAACAAAATGAGCAAAATTTTGAAAATCCTGGCCCCTTCACAGGCTTAATACAACTTAATTTTACTACATTTTCTTCTATTTATTCAGTGACTTATTTTAAATGTCTCACCTCTTAATACACTAGTTTTTATTTTGGTCTGAATTTCAAATAAGATCTTTTACATTTATTTTATCCAAATTGTTCTCCAGTTGGCCTAATAAAATAATCCTTACAGAGAAAAGAGTTTGGATATTCTATGTGTTTTGAATCAGTATTCATTATAGTGGCAATGGACTCACTACCTTCTTTAGAGATTTCATACAGTCAATTCTCTGTGTGTGGTTCCAAAATGTATTAATTTCAATTACCACAATTTAGTTAAATTGCACCAGTCCCCAACAATGCAGTTCAAACTTAAGCTATCATATATTAACTGTCATATCACATATAAGCAAACTTTGCTGCTGGCGCTTTAGTCCACAGAGCACTAGGTAAATGAGTTGCACATCATGACAGGTGACTAATCATGCCATTCCTTCCAAGGCGGTCTGTGACTGGCCACTGCGTATCCATTGTTTAGATCATGCACAGACAGCAAAGTGTCCCCCGGGACATTTTACAAACATGGACTATCAAAAGAGGGAAACGGCAAACAGAGAAAGAGCGGCAAAGGAAAGAAGGCTGACATCACTATGTGGTGAATTCTTATAACCTTATGCCGCCTCGGCATCCATTTCAACTTTCTAGTGCCAAGCAGGGTTCAGGCACCAAGTTATACACCACGACCTTTGCCCAGTCTTTCCCTTCACACAGCTTCCAGTCCTACACCACGACCCTCAACGCATTTTCCGCATCCCAACGTCTTCCCTCGACACAGCTTCCGGTTCTACACCACGCCCCACCCCCAGATCTTCCCTAGACACAGCTTCCAGCTTCTGGTTCTGCAGCAGGTCCCTCACCCTACCCTTGACACATTTTCCGGTTTTACACCACGCCCCTCGTCCCCAGTCCTACCCTCGACATGGCTTCAGGTTCTACACCACACCCTTCGCTCCCAGGTCTTCCTTTAACATGGTTTCAGGTTCTACACCATGCCCGCGCCCCCTCCTTCCACATGCTTCTAGTTCTGCACCACGTCCCTCACCCCAGGACTTCCCTCCACACAGCTTCCGGTACTACATCACTGCCCCACCCCAAGTCTTCCTTCCATACAGCTTCCAGTTCTACACCACATCCCTCGTCTTCAGTCTTTCCCTCCACCAAGTTTTGGGTTCTACACTATGCCCCACCCCCAGGTTGCCCCCCACAGCTACGGTTCTACACCATGCCCCTCCCCTGCCCTCGACACACCTTCTGATTCTACATCATGCCCCTTGTCCTCAGTGTTTCCCTCGACACAGCTTCCGGTTCAACATCACATTTCCCCACCCCCAAGTCCTTCATTCCACATGGCTTTGGATTCTATACCACGCCCCTTGCCCCCATGGCTTCCAGTTCTGCACCACACCCCTTGCCCCATGGCTTCTGGCGCTACACCACACCCCTGATCCTTGGTCCTTCCCTCAACATGGCTTCGGGTTCTACACCAAGTCCCTCATCCCCAGGTCTTCCCTTGACCTGGTTATACACCACATCCCTTATCCCTAGGCCCTCCCTTCACACAACTTCGGGTTCAACACCACACCCCCTCGCTCCCAGTCCTTCGCTCCACGTGGTTTCAGGTTCAACACCAGGTCCCTCACCCCTAGTCCTTTCTGGTTTGTGAAATAGAATGATTTATTTTCAAAATGAACCCTGAGCCAGGTTTAAATGCCTTTGCTGAGTCACTTCCAGCTTCTTTGTTTTTTTCCTTGGGCTTTCACTTTGGCGGGCTTTTATGTTCAAATTTTGGAGGGAACAAATCAGCAAATACAACATGTAAATGAAGGAATTTTTGACAGACCTCTAAGCCAATCAACAAATAGGACATGCAAATAAACTAATTACGTGACCCAATCGATGTGTGCCACGTAGGCGACCTCCAGGAAGGTAATATAACCTCTGAAATACCCAGCCTACGGGAAAACAGGGGAAGGACTTGCATTCTAGGGTACAAATATACTAGCTATAATGGCTTCGGTGTGCCTGCCTACCAGAAACCCAATCTTGCAACACCATCATTAAAGTCTTGCTTCTGCCGCACTCTGTCTCCCTGTCCAGCCTTTGACTTTGGGCAGGTGAGTTCATTTCTCACAGGTTCCACCCCACACCCCTCAGCCCCAGGGATTCAATGCGATGACTCAAACTCTGCCCTACAAATCCCTCCTGGGGACCAACTCCTATGGAAGAGCTAGACACAGGCTATCTGACTGGCCACGGTCCCACAGCCCATGTAGACCATACAAATATGTCAATATCCACCTCTCCAGGCTGACATCTGCTTGCCTGAAACCCACATACCCAAACTCCTGACTGGAAACACCAGCCCAGAAGCCAGGAGAGCCCCGGCCCTCGGGCCCCTTGTCTGTGTCCACATGCTCCCTGGCCTCTGTGAGTGGCTTCCAGCGTGCGATGCCCCAGGACCTGTAGCTATAACATCTCTATTGTCATTGTGTGTCCGTCCTCCTAATCAATGAGAGTGCACCTCTGTCCCAAAGGTCCTGAACTCAAGTGTACCGGAAGTGAAACTGAACGGAAGGTCAATGGATATGGAAAAGCACTAAGCAGTGAAGGGTCACTGTTGTCTTCCAAGACACTGCTTGGCAGGCGGAGGGACAGAGAGCAGCTCACCACCCAAACAAGGTGGGGGTGTGAAACAAGGGCTGCCCAGAGGGGGTCACACAACCAGGGATTCATTTAAAGGCCCTCTCCACTATATGAGGATGTTGTGATAGAAATGGTAATTGGGTATTAAATAAATCGAGGTCAAATAGCCAGTTTGATATTCTTTTTTTTTTTTTTGAGTTGGAGTCTCACTCTTTCGCCCAGACTGGAGTGCAGTGGCCGCTCCTGGCCACGGCAGCCTCGACCTGCTGGGCTCCGGCGATCCTTCCTCCTCAGCCTTTCGAGTAGCTGGAATTACAGGCGTGCGCTACCACGCCCGGCTCATTTTTTTTTTTTTGATTTATTGTAGAGACGAGGTCTCGCTGTCCGAGCGGGTCTCGAACCCGCGGGCTCAGGCAATCCACTCACCTCAGCCTCCCAAAGGCGCGGGATTACAGGCTGAGCCACCAAGCCCGGCTCAGTTTGATATTCTAAGACCCATCGTGCAAATATTAATATTCAAAAAAATCTCTTCCCTTATAGAGAACACACATATGCTTTCTAGCAAATAAAAAGTTGCTGCCACCAATATCTCCTCCTGTGGAGTCAGTTCCTAACAGTGAGAAGAAAGATTCTGGGCAGCAAATCAAGACGAGGCTGGGATGGGGGATTTCTAAACAACAGCCCTCCCCTCTGTCATAGGACAGGTTGGAAGGATTTTTTTTTTTAAATCAGGCTCAGGAAGTAAGAGCATTTGCTTGAATTGATAAATGATCTCGCCCACACACATCTTGGGTCCCTGATTTACACATGGCTCTGGAACCAGCACAGAAGTCTTTGAAGAAAGTGCACCCAGCCAGTGTCCAGAGCGACTTCTACGTCTATACAAGCTTGAGTAAATACAGAATAAAACTGAGATCGTGGAAGGAATTGCTATATTAGAAACTGCAGCAGATGGGCCCAGCGCCAGAGCTCACATCTGTTTTCCCAGCACTTTGGGAGGCCCAAGCAGGACTACTGCTTGAGGCCAGGATTCAAGACCATCCTAGAATAACATAGTGAGACCGTGTCTCTACAAAAAAACTACAATTTTTTTTTTTTTTTTTTTTTTAGGTTAGCTGGATGTGGTGGTGTGCACCTATAGACCCAGTTACTTAGGAGTCCATAGTGGAAGGATCACTTGAGCCCAGGAGTTCAGGCCTGCAGTGAGTCGTAATCGTGCTACTGAACTCCAGTCTGGGCAAAAGAGTGAGACCCTGACTCAACAAAACAAAACAAACAACCATAGCAGAGGACAGCTCAGGAGAACTCCAGAGAAGAAAGTAAGGACACGGGCAAGCAAGAATCCACCCTATGCACCTGCCTGTGAAAACGGAAACGGCAAGGAAGGTGAAGAATAGGCTACGTACGTGATCATGTCTTCAGGCTCCTTATGGGACATCTGCACACTGGTCATGCACATGGGTCTCCCGACTTCTTTGTCTAGATGCCTGAGAATGCTGTCTAATGCTTTTCTTACTTGAGGATAGTAAACTGACATTCCTAGGAACAAAGACCACACAATTATACAAAGTCAGGAATTAGATAAACAACACCTGTGTTTACTTCTTGTAATGAAAAAGCTTGTCAATCTTAAAATGGCATTCACTAATTGTCACAAAAGAAGGCAATGGAACCATGCTATATTTCTTCTCCCTGACGGTCAGCTTCAGTCTACTGAAGTAATTGGAGAGACTATAAAAATTATGCAGAGAACTAAAATTAATTTGAAGAAAGGACAAAATGCAGTGAAAAATCAAGTTTAATCAGAAGACTCTGAGCATGAAGATTTAAAACTGTTATCAAAAGTGCATTCATTTTGTATCACTGTATATACTGGAATAACCATATTATACAAATTCATACATTTTAGACTTGAACATGGATATTTCCAATAGAATAGTATACTGCATTACAAGGCAACTTGTCTATTTCAGTGAACACTGACCTATGACTTTTGCTTCTTCATCTGTCAAGGTTTTGTTGAGGAAAATTTTCTTTACACGAAGGGTGTTTCCCGAGGGAAGGATAACGCCTGTTGTGGGCATTGGCGGCTCCCCATCCTTCTGCTGCAAGCTGTCTGCTATTACCAGGAAGACTCTGAGGCCTATGTTCATTCTCTTCAGAGAAAGAGAGTTGTGAAAGGAAGAAACCAGAGTGTCATTAATTATCCTTTTTTCATGTTAGAAACAGCTCATGGAATAACAGGGGGAATGGGAAAAGACAGAAGGAAAACCCACTTTTCTGTCCGGCAGGTCTAACTAGCCTAGGCAGTAGAGTTTGCTTTAATACCAAATTCCCAAAGGCCATCCACTCACTCCTGAGGTCAGTAGCTCTCTTATTGCCTCCAAGCTTATTCCACACTCTACCATCCATCTTCTACTCTCCCCCACCTCCTGCAGTCCTTCCCCTCCTCTCTCTAAACAGATGATTTGTCTCTTTCTTCACAGTAAGCAGCCATGAGCTCCCCTCAGTCTCTCATCACACATCATACCAGCTCACGTGTGTCTGCAGCTCCCTCTTCCTCCCTTTTGCTTTTATGACGAGGGGTGATAGTCCTCCTGGCTGTGGACCCCACCCGTCCTTGCATTTTGGGGCTGTGACATTGCCCATGGTCCCTGCTCTTTCTGGCATCACCTACATTTCTCTTTCCATTGAAGACTTCCTGTTTCTCCTAACCACCTCACCATCTTCAGCAACATTTGCCTCAAGCAACAGTCACTTGGCAGTGACCAATCCAGACAGTGGGCCTATTCCCAGCAGGAATACGGCCTCACTGCCACAAGTTCATATATATATATATATATATATTTTTTTTTTTTTTTTTTTTTTTTTCAGGGAAAGCAAAAAAAAAAAAGAAAGAAAGAAAAAAGGCAAGGAGGATGAAGAAAAAAGAATGAAGAAGAGGAAGAGAAGGAGGAGAAGGCAAAGAAGGAGGAAGAGAAGGAGGAGGAGCAGAAGAAGGAAACAAGACAAAGATGGTGATGAGGATGATGACACAGGAGGTGATAGGAGCTGACAACAATGAAAAAGAGAAAAAGGATGATGAAAGAAGAATGAAGAGAAAGAGGAGAAGGAGAGGAAGAGGAGAAAATGGAAGAGGAGAAAATGGAAGAGGAGGAGCAACAAGAGGAAAGAGAAGCAGCAGCAGCCATAGAAAGACTAAGACGACAACGAAGGGAGAAAAAGAAACTGACGATGACGAAAAAGACAAAGAGGTTAAGGAAGGAGAAGGGGCGGAAGAGGAGGAGAAGAAACAGCAAGGAGAAGATTAAGATGACAAAGAAGATGACGACGGAAGAGAGAAAGAAGCTGAGATGACGAAGGAGGAGAGAAAGAAGAGGGATGACGAAAGAAGAATAAAGGGGAAGAGGAGAAGGAGGGAGAAGAAGGAGGAGGAGCCACATTTTTTTTAAAGGTTCATATATTTTAATGCTTTCATTACCATGCATACCAGATCACCCGCATATTTTAAGCCTGGCCTCCCTCTGAACTTGGATGTCAGAAAGATGTTTCAGGTCAGACATGTTTAGGCCAAGGGCATTCTTTCTCGATGTTTCTTTCCTCTGTGAATGCTCTTTCAGCTGCACCCTACCCATACTTTCCTCATCTCTGACCTGCACCCCTGGCCTCTTAAGGGGGGTATACGCATCCCAGTGAAGGTACAAGGGAGTTCGGGATACGGGAAGATTACAACTTGTATTTATTTATATGTGTTTTGTTATCCAAATGAGATTAAAACTTAAAGCTTGACTTACTGTAATTATGATGTAGCACTAGTGAACTTCCTTAATCTAAATATCAGATGCTCACATATCATACAGTCATAGAGGCACCACAGTGTGGTGGGGTTGTTAGAGAAAGTCTCAAACATTCATTCAATGTATTGTACTTTGCACGTATTCAATGAAATGGATCATTTTTTTTTTTTTTTAGTTGGAGTCTCACTCTGTTGCCTAGGCTGAAGTGCAATCACACGCTCACAGCCACTATAGCCTTGACTTTCTGGGCTCAGGAGATCCTCCTGCCTCGGCCTTTCAAGTAGCTGGAACTACAGGCACACGCCACTACCCCTGGCTAATTTATTTATTTTACTGTAGACACGAGGTCTCACTAAGTTGCCCAGGCTGGTCTTGAACCCCTGAGCTTAGACAATCCTCTGGCCTGCACCTCCCAAAGTGCTGGAATTACAGGTGTGAGCCATTGTGCCTGACCAAATGGATAATTTAATATGGGTTTAAACCAGCTCTCACAAGCTTAAAAAAAAAAAAGATTCTTGAAAATAAAATGCAGGGAGGCTGAGGTAAGTGGATTGCCTGAGCCCACGGGTTCAAGACCCGCCTGGGCAGCGATACCTCATCTCTACAATAAATCAAAAAAATCAGCCGGGAGTGGTAGCGCATGCCTGTAATTCCGGCTACTTGGAAGGCTGAGGCGGAAGGATTGTCAGAGCCCAGCAGGTCGAGGCTGCAGTGGTCGGGAGCGGCCACTGCACTCCAGTCTGGGTGACAGAGTGAGACTCCAACTGGAAAAAAAAAAAAGAAAAGAAAAGAAAATGCAGACTGAAGATAATCCTGATAAGCCTAAATGAGTAACAGCAACCTGTCTCCTTCCCCAAAACCCAGCAGAACTGATACTTTTTCGACTCTTGGGATAAGAACTTCAGTGGAAAAAAAAACCTTTCTTTCATAAATAAACTTATTCAATGGAGAGAATCATTTTTAAACATGCATGCTCAAGAAAAAGTCTTTTATTTCATGACTTTTGTTGCTGGAAACTATGTTAAGTATGTCATCTATAAAAACACTTATGCTTGCCCACTTAAAAAACAGGAAAATAATTATTCACCAATCTTAAAAATCTTATAAGTAAAAAGCTTCAATACCTTTCCAATCCATTTGTTAACCACATAAATATATCTGAGGATACAATTCTGAGGAGAGCCAGCAGAGTAATTTTTTTAAAATAGAAAAAAAATAACATCTATTTTGCCTTTTTACATTCTCAAATGTTCTTAGATTCCAGTAAGCAATTGGTTTGTAAAATATTTTGAAATAACCTGAAAATTTAATATCTAAAGAAGGAAGTAAGAGTTTACAAATGAATAATGGGGCAACAGGAGTAGAACATAACATTTGTTTTGTGTTTGTGTTGGTTTGTTTTTATTGTAAGCTTTATCTGGGGAAAAGGAATTTTGTCTGTTTTTTCTCCAACACCTAGAATGGTGTCCAGCACATTTTAGGTGTTTAATAAATGTTGAATTAATGATTTGTTAAAGGACACCTTAAATATATGTCATGTGAAGTAAAATAAGCTGAGCACATGTTACAACTTCTGGAGGCCAGCTGAGCTCCAGAACAATTCCACCTGAACAATTCCTTCTAGTGTTTTCCATCATGCTTAAACACTATTAAGCTTTTGGCTAGCATTCAGAAAGGTGAAACAGCTTGTCCCAGATCACACCTATAGTTAGAAGTACAGCTAGCATTTGAACCTAAGAGTTCTGATTCTAGAAATAATGCTCTAAAAAATAATAATACATATATAATATAGTATATTACATTATGTATGTTTTTTTACCTCTGGATTAATGGTAAAAGTTTTAGTAGATTTTCCAACACTGAGAAGATCAAATATTATTTCTTTCATTGCAAAATCCAAACGTTCCTAAAAAAAATAAATTCTTGTTAACTTGTGTTAGGTATAATGCTAAGAATAAACATAATGGCAACAATACAGGTTTGTGCTTAAAAAAAATCATAAATCTAGCTGAACAGAAGAAAGATACATATGAATTAATTTCAAAACATATGACTATAAATATATTATTTAATTATCAACTGATTTGTTTAATACCCAAACCAATAGTATAAAAGTTTTGGGCTGGGTGCGGTGGCTCATGCCTATAATCCTAGCACTTTGGAAAGTTGAAGTGGTGAGGTCAGTGGACTTCTTGAGCCCAGGAGTTTGAGACCAGCCTGGGCAACTTGGCAAGACCTCATTCCTAAATAACAAAAAAGACATTTTAAATATTTTTTCACTAAAATCAAATTCAAAATCTAAGTGAAAGAATTTCCAGAATGATGATGAAAGGAAGTCCCAAGACAAAAGCCAGCACAGAGAACATAAGTCCTTCTTGGGTCAGGGAGGACACAGCTCCTGGGAGGAAATCTCCAAGAAAAAAAAGTTGACCAGTAACATCAACAGACATTGAGAGGAACTTTATAGTTCTGGCAGTGTGCTCGAAGGAGGTGAGTCACCCAAGGGAGAGGGTACAATCCAGAAAAGAAAGGAAGAAACACAGCCTAATGGTACAAGTTTTCTGACCACTACATCTCAAGTACAGCTTGCTTTTATTAATCTTATAGACACACTCATACTTATCTAATTATTACTTCATGCTCCAGGAAATAGCAATGTATTCATTATATTTAAACATTCTTCTTCACTGTCAAATACAGCTATGGATCATCTACAATGCCATAGTTTTAAAGAGAAGGCAGTGAATATTCTGGAATCATGGCCTTTTCCTATATTAAGGCAGTGATCCTATCTATGCTTCCCCTGGGCCAATGTCCCAAAAGGGAACGTGACCAGAACCTTGGACAGGCTCGGTCACAGTCATTTAACCTCCTTCAAATATACTTTCCTGTGCTGAGAGCCCAGAAAGCTAAAACTGTATTTCCAGCACCCCTTATAACAACAGGCTTCAGGATGTGATTGGAAGCCTGTCCAGCGTGTGCTCCTATGAGTCTTTGGAGTCTGGGGATGTGAGGAAGAGGAGGACAGGAAGGAAGGCCTCTGTCTTGTTGGTGATTCTGCAGCCCTCCTACGTGAGGGACTTCCTCATCTGGCAGCTTTTTGATCTGGACTGAGACAGCAGCCTTCTTGGTAGCCCAACTCTGCAGTTTCCTCTTTGTTGTTCTGACTGGAACTCTTTTCTTCAGCCCTACTGGCAATTCTTTGAGCTATCCATCTATATTCCTTGCAAGATCCCTTTGGGTTTAACTAGCCACAGTAGATTCTGTTATCTGTACCTAAAAACCTAGATGAACACAGATTATGAAAGCGAATTTTCTCAGAAATCCTCCAAGACACTCAGGAGGTGCTGGCCTGACATGAGGACTATGAGACACATTCCAGACTCCTCCTCAGTTACAGGTGCTTCCATTTGCAGGTCGCCTACATGTGTGTAGACTCATGCTTTCAACTTGGTCAAAAATGTTGGCTATCGTGTTTCTAGATGCATCAAGGACCTCAGCGTTCCAGTTTATTACAGTAGATGACTCTCACAATCTCCTACATATGATGACGAGGTGGGATGCTCACCTGAGCAATGAACTGAATAATCTTCACAAATATGTTCAGAGGGGTGTCCCGAGGAACCACACTTCGTGAGCCTTTTGGGAAAAGTGCTGACACTATGCTCATAAGACGACTAGAAGGAAGAAAGAGTCAGTCAGAATGAGAACCTGACATTAACAACAGTAGCAAAAAAAGTCTTTCTGTTCTTCGTAATATCAAGATTAATATCAAGAGAATCAAAATTCCTCCCCAAAGTATTTATAACATTTACTAACACTTCCAGTAGTGGGATCTTTTGGAACAAGATTTTGTTTTAAATGTGTTTTAAAACAAGGGCACTCACCTTTGAGTTACAGTGTTGCTTTCACATTTTATTCTAATTACATAAACCCACAATAATCTATACAAAGATTCCAGTGCAACGCGAGACATTTTAGGATCTTTATTCTGTTTTAAAACAAAAGAGAATAAAAATAAATATATTAAAATACTTGCAATAATTTGAGATCAAATAAACACATTCTCTGTCAGGTACTAAAAACGCTCAACCTCCTTTTTGTGTTCCATCTAGAACAGGCTTAACAAATAGGCACACATTTGGTATAAGGTAAATGCAGACGGCTCAAAAGTCACCACAAATATCGACATTATGAGCCCTTCCTTATACTTTCAAAAGAAAACACTAAAATAATATAGAATTGTATTAATATTTCCAAGAACTCCAACATTATACAAACACAAACACATCAACCTACTTTGTGATAAACAGTTCACTGACAACATGATTGAGAAAGGACCACTCATCTTTGGAGCAATTCATCTGCAGCTCATATACAGTTATAATTCAGAACACCTAATGGTATTATGTTCATTTGCATTTATGAAATAATGCAAAATATCAAGTGCATAACCCTACAAGAGAATATGGGTAGTAAGTTAAGCACATGGCTCTAAAATGAGGAAGAACTGGGACTGAACCCAAGCTCTTGTTTGCTGTTCTGTCACTCAGCTGCAATGGCCTGGTCTCCAACATGGAGAAACATGATACCTACCTCACAGGTAGCTAACGTTTCTCCCTGAATGTGCCAAATGTTCCCAGAGTGTTGTTCTACCTTTAATTTTTATTTCGAATCAGGACATTATTTAAGTTATTATTATTATTATTATTTAGAATCACAAAGTCATTCCATTTCAATCACAATTTGATCAACAAACTTCTTCATTCTAGCTGTTATAAAACATAAAGCTCTAAAATGACCACAGTCAAGTAATGAGAATTAATTGTGAATTTCAAAAATGTAGTCAACAATCTTCTCTATTAGGAGAAACTCTTTATACAGCTGTTGATTGGTTGTAGAATGCAGTGGTTGCTGTAAACTTACATTTTAATCTTTTGCACATCTATGTAGATAAAGCCTTGATATAATTGAAGAATGAAAGATCAATTACTTTGCTGGTCACAGTCTCAGTAGCAGTCTCTCTCTCCCCTGTCAGATCCAGAATGATGCCAAATCTCAAATAAACTCCCCAAGGGACTCTTGGGTATATTTGCTACTAATGTAGCTCAGGTAACGTCGAATGTGTGCTACTAATACAATAACCAAGCTTTCTGCAGTAACTTCTTTACAAAAACATAATTTTCTTTCCTGTCATTTAACTTTAAGGTATCAGATATCAAAATATGAGTTTGGCTAGGAGTTAGGAAGGTAAGGGGAGAGGAAGAGGCAGAGAGTATTCAGGGTGGTGAAAATACTCTGTGTGATGATATGATGTGGACACATGTGGTTACTCATTTGTCTAAACCCATGGAACACACACCAAGAGTGAACCGTCATGTAGACTGTGGGCTTTGGGCGGCAAGCATGGATCAGCACCGGTTCACCAGTTTTCACAAATGTGGAAGGGAGGATAGGTAAGTGTGGAGCAAGGGGTACCTGTAGAAAACCCCTGTACCTGTCTCTTAATTGTACTATGAACCTAAAACTGCTAAAAAAAATTGCCTTAACAAAAACATGTTCCATTTTTACATATATATCAAATAACACTTTCACATTATTAGATTACATTTTTAAAATATTAATAAAAATTATGCAATAAAATATTTAAATCCTAGTCTGTTCTCATGTAAGTGATTAAATATAAACTTATTTGGATTATCTTAAGTGATGAGGTATCTGGCATGGAAAATTTTCAACCTTTCCAAGGTAAATTGTTATTTTTCAAAGCTGGCATTGGTACAATGTCAAACAGCAAGATGAAAAGTGAGGGGAAAATCAATTAGTAATTCTTTTTCTAGTTGCCTGAATAGTACAAATATCCTACCGGCCTACAAGCCTGGACAATATAGAGAGTCTCTGTCTCTACATACATACACACATACACACACACACACACACACACAAATTAAAAATTAGCTGGGTGTAATGGCTCAGCCTGTAGTTTCAGCACATAAGGAGGCTAAGGTAAGAGGATCGCTTGAGGCCAGTAGTTCAAAGTTAGTCTGGGTAACATAGCAAGATCCCCATCTCTACAAAAAATTAAATCTAGCCAGGTGTGTAGTAGCCAGTAGTCCCAGCTACCCTGAAGGCCTCCAGCCTCAGAGTGAGAAATTATCTTAAAAAAAAAAATTCCTAAATAGATCTAAGTCTTAAAGACATATAATTCCATAGTTACAATTTTGGTCTATTTGAACAATCAAATAATTACATAAATAAAAATCTAATGACATTAATTTAAACAAGGTATGTCAGTCAAATATGAGCTTTGGCAACAATCATTTTAAATATTTCCCCCCCTTTTTTTCTAATGTAACTAAAAAAAAAAAAAAATCATTTGTTTAAAACCCAGACCAGTAGAGCCAGGTATAGTGGCACATGCCTGTGGTCTCAGCGATTCGGGAGACTGAGATGGGAGGATTGCTGAGCCCAGGAGCTCGAGTTCAGCCTGAACAATATAGTGAGACTCTGTCACTTAAAAAACCCCCCAAAACAAAAAACCCAAACCAAGGATGAAAGTTTTAAAAATTCACTCATCAAAATTGTATTCAAAATCTAAGCTATTATCTCCTTAATGTCATTGGAAAATATTTTTAACATTTTCATTTATAACAACTAGGTAGTATAAATTAAACAAAGTATTTTAAAATTGTGAATTCTGGTCAGAATCAGCACACAGGACCATTTCTATCCCTTAGACGTATCTTCCTGGGACCACATTGATATGAACCTTCTGAACCATGCACTGCTCTTGTTTATAACACCAGAAGCAAGTTTGAATAAATACATTAGACATGCAGTGCAGCAAGGATAAAGGAAAACAAACACCACGCATAGAGGAAATAAGCAACATTTGACTTGGTAACATCAACACGACTCACCTGGAGTGTTTCTATTTGTTTTCTGATACTGTTGTTAGATGGCATCTAAATAAAGCAACGTGAGACAGCAAACATAAACATGAGATGCGGCACATGCATGTTAGATGAAAATAAGCACAAAACAAGACAGCTCTTCACCAAGGTCTCTATTTAGAAGAAATCTGGAATTTCCAAGAGAGTGGCTGGAGACATCAAGAAAAAAAATCCCCAGTTTGGGTATTATGGGATATACCTATGTTACGCAAACTGAGAGAAAATAGGTAAAATCGTAACTCCCTGCTTGGAGTTCACACAAACATAACTGTTGGAAAGCTAATCCGAGAGCCTATAGGAAAAGGTCTCTGAATTGTTTCTATATGCTGTCAATTCATCATCCACCTCTCTCACTGAATAGTTCTATAGAAACTTCCAAATCACTCTTCACCTAAGCATCTAAACTGATATAAAGACATGGGAATAAGAGACTACCAAATTCCGGTTGGGACAAAAATAAAAAATTTAACTTTTCAGTGAAAATAAAGCCACACTCTCATGTGCTATTTACGGGCTTATAGGAATAAAGTCCATTTGTCATGTTCGCCAACTTAAAAACTGGTCGGGTAATTTTTTAAAAACTGCAATATCTTCAAGTGCCTCATCCTATTTATTCTTGTTACTCTAGAGAATAATGTCTTTTTAATATCCTAGAATTATTGCCAAGATGTTTTCTTAAAATAATCAGTACAGTAACATTCTTTTTTTTTTTTTTTTTTGAGATGGTCTCTCACTCGGTCACCCAGACTGGAGT